AGAAAGTACGCGTGAGATTTAAAAAAAATGAAAACTACAGTTCCTATACATAGGAATAATAACTGGATAATTTTTGTATCGCTGACCACAATATGGCACATATATGAGTGTACCTAATATTTATCTGTGCATCATATAGCTTCGTAATACTTGTGTTTACTATGTAAATATTATTGTTTATTAGTCGTACATGAAACATTATCGTACATTATCGTGTTTGATAGTCTAAAGCTGAATAATACATATTATTACGAATAATATATATAAATATATATGTTATGTTTGGTACTGTACAGAATTTTATCAATAAATTCTACTAGTTTATGTCAAACCATTTTTTGTTTACATAAAATTAGAGTATATTAGTTCCTGATTGTGATGTTACATAAGTCCGGATTTCGGATTCCAGATTCCGAAAATTTGGATTTTTAAACTACTAACTTAGCTTCCTGTTTCACGTGAGATTGACATCCATTTCTATTGAACTATATATTTTTAATATCCATATTCATGTTTTATAATTAACGTATATTAACATATTTTAGGGTTCTAATATTTACTTTAAGTTCATAACATTGGTAAATATTTTAATTGACCAATTAAGTAAATTCAAATAATACAAAATCCCCAATAAATTGAATATACATATTTGATTCATTTGTATTGATGAATTTCAAATAAATTAAAAAAAGTAACAGAGTTGAATAATTAATCAAATTCTTCGATGTTAAAATCTTTCAATTTCAAAACTTATTAATTATTTTTCTGGGAAATCAACGCTCGGCAGTTTTAACGACCATCAAGTATTTTTAGACGCCTATTTGGTAGTTTAAGGCACTATTGTACTTGTAGATTTGTTTGCCTACCTTGTGTTTTGAGGCCTTTTAAAGAACGTTACACCGCTGAATTAATAAATTATATCTACTACAAACAACGTGAGTATTTAACTATGGCTTTCTGCTTGATTTAATTTTCACCATTAAATTGTCCATTAGAGTTTATTGTTGAATTTATCATCTTATTGACTCTTAATGGTAACTTTTTCTTGAAGTTTCCAAAAATAAATCAGTCTTCAACCGTGGTTTAATAAAGAATTAATTGAAATGTTGTTCTTAAAACAATGAGCATATAAAAAAATACAAAAAAAAATCTAATCTTTAGAAATGTAGTAAATTTTCTAAACGTAGCTCGTTATAAATATTTATTGAAATAAGTTTACCATAACAACTTTGCAGAAGTGGAGTCATATTTTTTCACAAATCCATAAGAATTCTTTAATTCGTTTGTAAAAATAAATCAAATTATGGTATATCTAGTTCACTAATCATTAGAATTATGTTGTTGATGACTTTTGAATTTTTTTTCTTTTGATTTTATTCAATGTTATCTTAACTAAACGTTTGTTCCGTGTTCCCTTGATGCATACTATTCTAATTTTATTTTGCGTTTTTAGACATTTACATTTATTTTATTTATATTTATATTTACATTCTGTCTATCTATACATTACCTATAACTCAGATATGGATTAACATTATATCTATCTATACATTACTTATAACTCAGATATGAATTAACATTCTGTCTATCTATACATTATCTGTAACTCAGATATAGATGATATTTATCAACAATTGTTTTCTCCGAGATAACTTTTGCTTTACTCCATATGGTTTACCAGATAACTTCGTTTTTAACTTATGAAGTAATCTAACATGGCAACATAAATTCTGAAAGGTATTTGACCAAGTGAATCGCAATACTCTTATTAAGATCTTATCTGGTGCCGGTGAACCAATTATTTTCTTACTTAGTAAATCTTAAACGATATTTAAAATTACACGGTAGCATTTCCGACATTATTACACCTTCATCTGGTGTACCTAAGGGTGATAATTGGTTGGATATCTACAGATGTATGTCTATACTAAAACAGTACTATTTATTTATTTATTTATTTATTTATCTTATTAGTCATAAGCAGGGTTGGGATTTTATAGCATTTGCATATTTCTTATGAGATGCTTAAAAAATAGCAAAGTGAGCTAAAAATGTGTTTCATGATACAGAGAACTCAAATAAAAAATTTTCTTTTGCTTTTTTTTTGCATATTTTGCATTTTTTAGTTTTTAGTGTTTTTTGGATTTTTTGAGTCTTTTTTGCATTTTACCTGTTTTAATCAAAATCGGGCATATTTAATTAAATTGTATCTTGGTAAACGTGTTTTTTGATTTTTGTCGATCGAATTTTCAAGATTCAAAATTTTAAATTAAATTTTAATTTAAATTATAATTGTATAGATTAAGTAAATAGACCGATCACGGTGATGCAACGATGTACAATTACAGCGATAATACCTATATAGGTAGGTATAATATAATATTACGATAATTTCATTTTAGTTATTTGGTTCTAATTTTTGTTATCTGCTGATTTTGTTAGGTTTTTTTTTGTTCATTTCTACTGAATCTACTAATAGTTGATTATCAATGAACGAGTGTAGAATTCGTTTTGTACAGTCCACATTAGAGATGGAAAGTTTAGTTCATTTCTGTGAATAGTTCATTAGTTCACAGTTCATTCAAATGAATAGTTCAAATGAACTATTCTTAAGTTCACGTAGTTCACGAATATTATTGATCATACTGATATTGTTTAGAAATTAACTATTCGTTTTATCACTATTAGTACAGCAGTACACAGTTCAATAGTAGTACACACTACTTATGGGCAATTAAGTATTTGTTATCTAATTGTAAACAGCTGTTTAAATTTACCGGATTTCGAACAACGAATCACTGAGAATTTTTAAAGAAGTTCGCGAACTATTTCATTTCTACAATGCTACCAATTTTTTTCGAACTATGAAGTTCACTGTGTGAACTGTTAAGTTACAGAAACAATACTGAAACAGTTCAGAATAAATCATCAAAGTGAGTAGCTCCTATTCGTTCACAAACTTAACATCTCTAGTCCACATTCATCTCGTGTACTCGTACAAAATTGTTAAATAATAAATTTCCTTTTTTTTTTTTTGTTGCATATTTCCATGTTTTTATTGTATATTTTTAGAGTTTATTTAGCGATTTTTAAGGTAATATTATAGTGCATATTTATGCAATTTTAAGTGCTATAAAATCCTAACCCTGGTCATAAGAAACGGGAAAAAATATACGCTTTTATCGTACATATTATGTCTGATTTTATTTATTATTCTATTATGTACGTTTATCGTCATAATTATGATATTTTGTATAACGCGGTTGTTAATCACCACAATTTATAATTATTTAATTGTATTTATAAAATGTAGTCGCGTGTACTTATATGCTATTCTGATTTTTAGGCAATCTTTTTATTATAAATCTGCACGCCATTATTTAATGAGTTATTAATATTGTTTTTATTATTAATAATATTATTAATGTTTGATAACTGTTGAATTGAATACGGTTAAGCCAATAGGGCTAGAGGTTTTATTCATAATTTATCTACCTATATTCTGTTGTTGTGAATCATTTAAATTTATTATGTATAATATTATTTAACATGTTGCAATCAAAAAGCAACATAGACATACTACTATAGTGAACTAGGTATACTAGAGTTTGACTTATTTTAACGAACGAATTTCCAAAATTTTCTAGTAAACATACTCCACTTCTGTAAAGTTGTTACGGTAAGCTTACTTCAATAAATATTTGTAACGAGCTGCGTTTAGAAAATTTATGATAGTTTTGAAGTTTGTTCTTTGTACTATATAATGACTATATATTATATATCGAAAACTGTCAGTGGCAGCACAAACACCTACCTCCGGCTCTCATCGCTGACAAGTCTATGTTTACACGCTTGCACAGTGTGGTCAAGTCTGTTGTAGTGTCAGGGGGGCGCAATTGCAGTATAAAACTGGGACTGCTGAAATCCTTCTATCTTTTTCATGTTCTTAAATATTTAGTATATATACTTAGTAAATATTTAAATATTCACAAATTTAAATTGTTCATATTGATTTTATATTTTTATAAATATCAATAGTACTGAGTATCAAACATTTCATTACATTTTCATTAACATAATAATGTGCTCGACTTGACGGTTATAATAAATAGAAACCGAACGATTGCTTATATAATGTGTTTACTCACTATTAAACAGAATCTTTTTCGTTTAGAATTCAAAATAAATACGCTGACAGAGATCTTTGGGAAATAATTTGTACCGTTTATTCAGTTTGCACACGTGTTAATAATATTGTGATTATAAATCTGCTGGTACGTCTACGCAAATATAATACATTGATAAACGATTTATCCAGAGACCAGTCACAATATGCATCTGACTATAATAATGTGTAATAAGTTCATAATTTAGAAAATAAAATATACATTTATACTTAAAATAGTATTTTAACATCAGTTAGGTTGCTTTGTCGTCAATATACGTGTTCTAATATAATTATTATCTACCGCGCGATTGAAATCCTAGAGAAATCCTATAGAAATCCTATAGAAATCCTAATAAAATTACGAATAAAAAAATTAATATTAATTTAAATAATATATATTATACGTATATAAATTTGCTTAAAGTAATATAATTGAACACAATATTTATAAAATGCCTTACGTATGAATATCATTATAATAATATGTTGTTACCGATCGCTCTGTACAACTGACGAATGGTTAATGCATAATAATATAATGTTATTGGTATAAAAATAATACTAATACAGTGATAATAACAATTGCACCAAGTAATTGGAGTTTCGATTCATAATTATTTTATCTCTTATTATTATTATTATTGTTTAAAAAAATATATCTTTATTAATTATACAAAAGAACACGACGATAGACGCGATTGAACAGAACTCGTCCCGGTTAATTGTATTCCTATTAAAACGGCTGGCACGACTTAATCGTATTTTTTTATATAAAATATATTTACAAGTTTACCATACGAAAACGTATAATATGAGTAGGTATGTATTTTTAAACCTAGTGACGTTTTCCGTCGCGTTTCAATCGATGTTATCTGTATTGTATAAATTGCGCCACCGTTTTGATTTCGGAGCAATTTATTGTCGTCGACGGTGAACTTCTGAAAATCACAATATATAATAATATCACATTAGATTGGTACGGTGCAAAAATGATGAAGTTTTTCAGCGAAGACCACAGTGCTACAGCCGAGTATATTATGTTGATAGTGAAAGAGTAATATCGCAACGTACGACTCGTGTGGGACGTTTAGGACAAAATGTCATAGTGTTTTTTTTTTTTTTTTTTGTTTTCTCTTGAGACTTTATGTGGAATTGGACAGATTTAACGAGGGTGGATTTCTAAAAATCATTAGTATGGCTTTACGTTAGAATATAATAATAAAAAATATGCAAACAAATTGGATTCAATTATTTTTCAACGGGTTACATTACAATCGTAGACGCAAATAATTAATTTTGAGGGAGAGGAGGGCTTAACCGTCTTGCCTCCCTTTTGCTACACATTTTCGACTAATAATATAAACAAACATAGAACTTCCTCGTGCCTAAAAACTATGTCTCATATTGATTGTGCCTACACGGATTCATCGTCGTGTAGTGAAGCAGCAAAGGTCAAACGGCGCAACACGACTCTGCGACTTTCGTCAGTAGTTAGGACAAAATATAACAACGGCTGTGTCAACATCGACCACTGTCCTAACGCACGTACACACCTCTGGATGTCGAACAGTGTTATTTTTTTGTGGCCGATTGGTAAGATTCCGTCTCGTCGGTGTACTCGTCGCCATAATCGCCTCCGGTCTCCTCGTCACCGCCCTCGTCGTCATAAGCGTCCGTTGGCGCCTCCGTGGTCTGTGACATGGATCTGTACGATTTCGTCGTGGTCGTTGGCTCCTTTTCACGTATGCAAACATAGGGTGGACCAAACGTTAGTGTATGGCGTCAATTGTTAATTATTAATTGTACGGGTTCGGTAAATTAATTAAAACGACAGGTGGGTCCAAAGGGCAAGGGGCTAAGATAATTTGCGCCTCCTGTTCTCGAAAAACAAAACCTCATTAGATCTCGGGGTTTTAGGTTTAGACATACCTGCGTGGCCACGGTCAAAAATACATGAATAATAATAAAAACCATTAGACTTTAGTCTGTAGTACACACCGGATAACGTGTTGTCATTAAAGTGCACCGTTCGAGTTTTAAAATTTTCTTATTATTTCGATATGGATCCATCACCGACAGCGTGTATACAGGATTATAAAGGAATAAAAAACGTATGTATACTCGGGAACGGTACGATTTACATAGCTCATTTATAAGTTATTAGGAGCGGAAAAATAATGCGCTCCTTTATGCTTATACCTTTTGTGGCCTCCAACCGCATCCGGGTAATGGCAATCCGTCTAGTCCTATGGGACACGGCGCATCCAATCCCGGCACTCCCTGGTCGCCTTTATCGCCCTTGTCTCCCTTTCGGCCTTTTTTACCGGTCGGACCCTGTAATAGACGTTTAGATTTGCATATGGTATTTTTCCACGATCCGAGCGTGTGATGTACTATACCACGGTAGTGGTGCACGTTGCGGGACAAAAACACTATAATATTATAACAACCGAACTATCGCCTGCAACAGCATTGTTCGACCCTGCGAATTTAAATTCGAATCGTTTCACAGAGCGTGTGTATATCATCCGTATTGGACACACACGAATTATTAACGATAAATCCAATTCCATGTTAATCGTAGCAATAATAAACACCGAAACAAATGTCTACTGCAGGTGATATATAGTCTTTCAGTCCCGCATATATTATGCACACATAATTCAAAATTTTGCACGGTCTCCAATACTTACGGGTTCACCTTTGTAGCCCTTGTCTCCTTTGGGACCCTGAAAATCAACACGATGGTATTAAAACGACACCCGGATACCTTTAAAATATAACGTGGTTTTGACGCGTTGTGACTGGCGAAATCGCCCGGTAAACGTTATTCCGGGAAGGGCTACCCCATCATCCGACTGCACTCTGAGATCGGCTAGAACCTTTAAAGGACGCCACATATATGTCCATGTGTAAAAGTAGTCAAAGTCATAGGCAGTAAGTTTCATGAGTTCGGATCGTTATTAGTAGGTGGCGAAAACTTGAATGGAAGAAAATTGATGCGATAGAACTGTACGCGAGAGGGAACGAGTCATTCTTTTTCGCCGAAATGGAAAAAAAAGTTTGATTTTTGATTCCGCCAAATCTTTCTGCCAAACTATAAATTGTATACCATTGAAAGTTATTCAATAAGGATTGGACCCCAAAAATCGATTTTTTTTTATGTTATTTATTTGTATTTGTTTCATTTGTTTATAACTAAAACGTCAGTTCGGTACCAATGTATAGGCTTAAGTTTGGTGATTTTACATTAAAACTTTTGAATATAAAATAATTATATGAAAATATGATTTCACTAGTTATAAAAGTGTTGTCAACAACATAAACCGTCGCAGTTCATATAGTATATATGACAAAACAGCAATATCGAGAAATATTAGTACGGACCAATTATTGCAGAAGACATGATCAAAAAACTATCTGCCATATAAATCATATTTTCTCTCCTTCAATAGTTATGGATTTAATTTAGGTTATATGATTATATGAAATAGTTTATTTTTATCAGAATAATAGTAGTTCTCAAACGATAGCTTAGGTATAGAAATCGATTTATCGGAAACAAAATTCAAACCTTATTTTTCAGAAATGAAGTGGAGTTTTTCATGGAAATTATGAACCTATTCCCCTAAGGTATTACAGATCTCTGCGCGCACGTAAAAGATTATACGATTTTCGTGAGTTAGGATAAGATTCCCCGATGCTTTTCACCGGCCGAGAACGCCACGTCATCGTTACACAAATGGCATAATTCACGTTCATGCTCATTCCGGAGGAGCAAACACGAATTTTCTTAACGTTCTACTGCGTATTAGTTGTAGTACTACGTACTTATGGGTGTGATTGAACGTATTCGGTTTCGAAGTACACGCGCAGCAGGACTCGAGGTGGGAGATCCTTTACGAATTGTGTTCTATTTAAAAGATTAAGTTTTCGCCCGCGACTGTAGTCACATAACCCAGCACTGCGCAAGCGGTTTTCAAGTAAAAGTACGAAGTCAAATTTATGGACACGCGCAGTCGTTAAAGAAATGCATATTAAAATAAAAACGTAACTGATTACTACATCAGGTTAACCTGCAAAACGGCGCGATAGTAAAAAAAAAACGCTCTAAAAAAAATAAATCAAACGAATAAACAATGATTTATTTTTATCGTTATAAGTTTACACTTGAAACGCAAGATCCAAGGACTTATATTCCTCAATAATATTTTTTCTCTCTTATGTATTTATATATTAAACAATCGTATTGTTGTCGGCTCGTCGTGCCTGTGACGAACGCGCTCCTTTTCTTTTTACGTCGACCTTGACGACGGACTACGGTGCGCGAATCGTTTCGGGCTTTTCATTTTTCAATCCATTCCCTTAGTGGCGTTGTCGTGTGTACACCCTATCCGCCATCCCAAAGCACACCCGATCGGTCTCTCTGAATTTCCACGCAGAACAACGCACGCCGCGAATCCTTATTAGAAATCCTTATTATCCTTATCAGATTCCCTGTGTAGGGCTCCACCTATGTTCGTAATCTCGTTTCGTACGCAACGTCCCACGGAAAATCGGAACGCACGACCGCCGAAAACCCGCACTTGACGACAACGTGAGAGGAACATCAGCGGAATGTATTAACCTCGTCACCGTTGCAGTTTAGTTTCGATATCGGATTTGTAGTAATTTATCATTATTGAAATTGTATTTTTTCATAAACAGATGTGTATATATATTTATTTTTTTCATCTCGAGTATTTCGCCTAACCGTCTCATTCGGTTAACGGACTCAAAACGATCCCGAAATGAACCCAAAAAGCGGCGACTACTGTACAATAATACGGTGAGTTCCGCTTAATGTGATCACATTGGTTCAGGCTATTTTGATTCTATTAACCGGTTGATTCCAAAAAAACCTTTTTTTTTTCTTTTAATGCTTCTATATTTTCACGTTTACTTGAAATAAAACTAAAACCAAATAAAAAAGTAAACTGAAATAATTTTAAAAAAAATTCATTAAAAATAAATTTAAAAAAACAATTTGTTTTCGATTGCACTTAAGATTCTTTTAATTTAAATAATTTAAATAAATTATTAAAAAGAACGAGTAAATCATTTTTTTTTTTTTGTTTTGTTGACAAATATTTCCATTTGCTCAGCAATTTTGATCAAGAACCAAAATAAACTAAACGACAAGAGTAAATGACATACAGTGATACATTTATACACTTTTAAGTTCAAAAATAAAATACATTTTATAAATTAATCAATTTAAAATACCACAAAAACGATAAGAATGTTCATAATAGTGATTTATTTATTCGGTGCATAGTGGTTCAAATAAAAGTTCAATTTAACATTAGTAACATGCGATTTGGTTTGGGAATTTTTTTTTGATTCCAATAAACGGTTGATTCTATAAACCGGTGATCACATTAAGTGGAACTCACTGTTTGATCTTAACAGGACATTATCACGCCATATTGTACGCTGTATTCCAAAACCGAATACGATGTCTTATAATATACGCATTCTAGTTGTGTTAGTTTTGACGGGTTAAACGCTTGAACGGTGTTCGTTAGGATGAAGCTGCTGCACATCAATAAAGCTTCAAGACAGTACAAAATAATTGCGTTCGGTCAAAGTTACCAATATCGTACTATTATAGTATGTATTACAATAATAATAGCAAAATAGTCAGTAAAATTGACGCGTTGGTCATTATAATCATTATAACCATAGGCGTGCGTAGATCTGTACTTCAGAGGGTGCTTACAATACTTTTGGGCCCCATTTTAACAACACATGTGGGTATATTTAATAAATTATAATGCATAAGTAATTAAATAAACATATCTTTAATGCTATATTTAATATTGTGCTGTATTGGTCCCAATGAATATGTTTTCCTTGAATCTCGTATATTTTTCTCAGATAACTTAAATTATTTCTGATCTGTACTTTTTTAGTCAATTGTAGCTGTTATATTATCATAAAAAAATGTTTCACGAAAATGTAGAACATTTTGTTTATAATTTTTTCAACAATTTTTGAAATAATTTATTTTTTACCAAATAGTTTTAGAATAAGTTCTATTTTATTTAAGCAACATCAGTTAAAATACTGGTCCCTTACTCTTAAACTTTAATTATAGGGCACCATTTAATGATGAGCAATTCGGAAGGTGCACAGGTATACCCCCGTACGCGCGCCTATGATTATAATGTAAGTATTGAAGCTAAATAAATAAAAAGTAAAGATACGACTATAACAGATAATAAATGTTAATATTGTTTAGTTGAATGTTATACCTCACCACCAGGAATGCCATCCGTACCCTAAAACAGAATAGAAACAGCTGGAAGTATTGTTTTCTTAAAGATTTTCATATTAAAACCGTGTTGATTAGAACGGCGTTAAAAATATTTAAATATACGATTGTACATCATAATAGTACGTTCATACGTATACACATGTGTGTATATTGTAACACGTGCACGCGCACACAAACACACATGTGTATACATATGAACGTAAATATAAAAACATACACACACACACACACGAGATAAATTATTATAATATACGATTATGTATATTGTACGACATACATACAGGCAGGCCAGGATCTCCACGTTCCCCTTTGGTACCGGGCTCCCCTTGACCACCCTAGAAATATAGGCGATAAAGCGATAGACACAGAAACATTAGATGTTGTTCGGTAAAAATAACCTGACCAGATTACAAGTTTGTTATTTTAATCATAAAATATCAAAGACAATTAATTAATATCGTCTATAAAATTATAATTTGATAATTACCTTCATCCCGTCCAGTCCTGGAGGACCCTATAACAACAAAAACCACAGCCTTATTAACACGTATATAGATAATTAACTCATTTGGGATACGGACAGTCTTGCAAAAGGGTTAGTGAAATGTATATAAAACGGTATAGGCCAAAAACGGTTAATCTGCAGGAATCAGCAGCCGGTACAGTATAAGTAGGTACTCACCCAGGCACATGCAGCATTCCGCGAGTTTTATTTCTTTCGTTAATTCACGAAAACACAAAAATAATTATCAAATATCAACATATCACGAATCAAATAAAAACATTTATTCACTTCGAACAATACCGGGGGATGTTTTGATAGATTTATAATTATATTTTGTATAATTTTTAAAATAAAAATTTAATGCTGTATTATTTCGTACACGTTTTTCGATGCCCGAACTTTTTCTATAACATGAGATTTTTTTTTATTGTGCTTGCCACCATTTTTATCATACATTCATGCATATATTTAAATTAAATTATCAAAAATTTATTGTTTTAATTTTCACCCATTAAATTATTGTACAAGTTTTAAAATAGTTTTTTCGTTTTCAAATTTTTAAATGTTAGTGTTTTTTTATTTTTATAATTATTAATTAAATCGTTAATACAATTAGTATATAAAATTATAGAAATTAAATACCATACATGAGCAAAAAAATAAATTATAATACAACTGTTGGTATCTATATCAAACTTGATGTAAACGATTTATTTTCCAGCGTTTGTATATTACAAATTGATAATTTATTCTAAAGGAAAATTGATAAAAATATTCTCCGTTGTATAATTGCTTAGTTCTTGAAAACAAATATTAACTTAAATATTGTATGAATATTTATATTTATGTATAGTACAAATACATTGATGGCATTGCAAAAATATTGAAATTTATTCTTAAAACTAAAACATATTTTAATTTACTATAGAATAATAAACAATGCACCATACATTTAAATAACTTTTTTTTTTATTAATCATTTTTAAAATACTATTTTAAAATCGTACAAATTTCAACTTAAAAAATATGTTTTTTTTCTTCTACTTTTGAATTTAATTTAAAATAAACATTGAAAAATTTAGCATAGCATTCATATTACTTTTATATTCAAGAAATAAAATACGAAAAAAACCGATTTTATTATTTTTATGAAAATATAATGATAGCAAAATACCGGCTCTAAAAACCATCCATTCATATTTTCGTAAGTAAATCAACGCAGCTGAGGAATAATTGACTATCATAGAAATATCATTCGTTACAAAATAATAAGTTTTACGATTTTTATATTAACAAATTTGAAAATAATTTACTCCATAACGTAAGCATAAAACATATAAACGAATGCTTTTAAACATAATTATGATTTGAAACATATTGCATAATGTAAATTAATAGAGTACATAATAATCTCTGACCGGAAATTAATGACTTGAGAGTTGGTTATTAAAAATGTAAAATGCATTTTGCATAAGACCAGGCTTAAGAACTGACATATTTTTATTAAATTATCCCTTATTTCAAATACGATATAAAAATTTTTAAAGGAAAACTCAACGTGCCTACGTATTTTTGTCTTCTAATATATGTATGACATAAGAGTAATATTTTACAAATATTTTTCACCATTATTCTCATTAATTATTACAACCGTTTTAAATTGCTGAGTACTTAGGAAATTATCTATTGATTGTATTAATCGATATGCGTATGTTTAGTTTTACCGAAAATTCGAACATCCTGCGAGAAATTACTATATTATAATTTTAAAACAATAAAGATTATTCATTTATTATCTAAAAATAAAACATTTTAATTTGAGTGAACTGATATTAATTATGTTGGATTATTTTTCTTTGGCACGAAAAATATAATTATCATTGATTTTACGTTTAATAAGTCATTTTTGATTACAAATGTAATACACCAAATATCGACGAACAAAACTAGTTGGGTGTTATATTGTCATAGAGCATCGATAAATACGTGACAAAACACCGATTTTTAAGGAGCAAGTGTCTCGTAGGCAAAATCCGTCTAAAGGATAAAGTAAAAAAAAAAAAAAAACGTGCATCATTCTGTTGCGTTCGATCATTGATTAGTGACATTTTTGATGCAAACACGTGGTGAACGCACTAACTACAACATAATATTACGCATATACAATACGAGAACTATAATGTATATTATAGCGGTCGTTCGTTTATTATTAAATTTATTATAAGTAAAAATTTAACATATTACAATACACTTAAAATATACATAGTTTATAATTGTAAATTTTATCGTTATTCTGAATCAATTATATATTTTATATATTAAAAAAAAAAAAAATAATAATAATAATACACGCAAAAATCGTAATAAAAGAGCTATATATATATATGTATATAAATTATTATGTTTACAATAATATTATATAATATTTATCGATAAGTATAAATATATATATTTTACAATAATATAATGAAATGGTATACATTCATAATATTTCACCTAAAATTTTATTTTTATTTTCCCGATATACGTATTTTTTCCAAGAGATGTTAATAGTATTTCGAATTTTTACAGTACATGGCATGCACGAGTCGTACTTTTCGATTATATATAACCGGAATGCATGAACGCGATTTCGACATTTTATCATCGGTCCGTATAATGCGTTTCATTGCACGTAGACAAACAAGTGTCCATAATATTTATAATATATATTGTTACTATAAAACATACGACACGTACAATTATTGTATGTGTATCGTTATATTACGTATTATATATATATATACACGAGTTTGTAGAAAAAAAAAGAATGAACGAATATCTTGAGTCCATGACGATTTCGATGTGTAACGGGACACAGAAATCACGAAAATTACCAACAATATTATTCCCGGGATGTAATATCGTCGTTGAAATCGTAACCGTTTTTCGGTGGCGGTGAAGGAAAACGAAAAGAAAATGGAATACGAAAGAGAGCAGTAAAATACCTTCGAGGTACAAATTTAATAATAATATCGTTACTCGTCGATTGGATAACATAGACACGATTGGGACAAATGGTAATCGTGATAGTAAATAAACATGGGCAATTCGATGCGAAAAAACGGTGGAAAGAAAAAACGCAATCGTTTTGTTACGTTAAAAAGTTTGAAGAAGAAAATTAACAGGGAGGGTATATTGCGAATTTAATTAACCGCCGACAGATTTGTTGACACATCAACTACCGTATAAATACTTTTTACCAATTGTTACGAATACACACCAGGTATGTGAATAATGAATACCATTGAAACGTAAAGTACCTAATCGTTATGTAAATGATGTCGACGATCAACGGGATGAATGGAATCGGTACGACGTATGACAATACAGCATATTTTGTTCGATGTGCAATTCATAGAATTATTTTATGTTCGTTTATTTTTTCAGACCGTTTTTCACTCAAATAAATCGTATGATACTTAACCTTATCGTGAGGACAAATAGTTGACATTTGAAATATAGTATTGGTTTAAAATTAAGAACTATAAAATCAAAATAAAGAAAATAAAGGTATACGTGTGTGTGTACATGTGACGAATCGGCTTAGCCCCACTGCCATTTAAGTGGATTTTGGACGTTAGGTACCTATATACAAAAAAAAAAAAAAACACTTATAAATGTTTTTCGTAAAAAAAAAACATAATCATTTTCGTATTAATAATATTATATGACGTGCTATGAAACTTCTTATCATCGTAATATCATACAATATGGTTTGGCTCGAAAAGAAAAAATAATATTTACAAATAATGCAAATTATTTGGCAACAACGATTTACAAAACGAGTAAATTATATAAAAAATATTAAAAATAAAATGAAAACCATGAATACATTGATATTACGAACTTATAAATATTATAATTATACATGAGTTAATAACCGTGTTACGAAACGATACGATAACTACAAAATATATTATATTAACCGTTAGTTATTAACATTAAGAATAGCGTACGACTAATAATATATATAGAAAAAAATCGTTAGTCAATAAAACTCTAATGGTAATAATAATAGGATTTGAAAAAAAAAAATAATGAGTATAGTTAGAATCTAAGAAGTTGTTTAATTTTTTTTTTTTTTAGTTTTAGACGGATATATGTGTGTTAGTGTTTGCACGTGTCAAAGAAGTATTATACTGCCTTAAACCTGTAGAAAAAGCATTTTTGTCATGTTTAATGATATGTTAATAAATCATAATAACAGTATTTAATAATAGTATGATATAATGTGTTTATTTATTTATTTCTTACCGTGGGACCGGTTTTGCCCGGGATCGAATCTCCTCTAGGTCCAATTGGGCCCTATATTTTGGAGAAAAAACAACAAAAATAATGTGATCAGTTTTTGTTAAAGGCTTGTCCTTTCGCATTATTTATACTTACAGGTAAGCCCATTGGCCCGGGATCTCCTTTGGATCCTTTCTCGCCCTGCAATAAAAGTTTACATCAGATTTTGATAGTATAAATATTACATTATATTGTAGGTGTATTATAACAGGGTTTCCAATAATGTTATCCAACGACTTTTTCGACGGAAAACGTCTAACGTTAATATCCAATAAGTAGATTGGTTTATTTTTTCGGCAAACGATTGAGTAACATGATGACCATGTGATAAATTTGCAATATTTTTTAATAATATTATATTTAGTACGAGATTTACGTAACAAAATGCGGTGGTGATCTGAAAATGTTTTGTTTACCTCTCGAAAGTCACGCCAAAAAAATGATAGCAAAAAAGTATAAAAGGCTTGGAAGGTTCAACATGTTCTTATACATATTATTACGTGGAACCGTTTTATATTTAAATTTTGAAACTCAACTCAGAAAAATAAAAAAATAAAAATCGGTTTCATTTTTTACTCGGTCAGTAATAATATACTAGAAACTATTGAACAATATTGAAGATGTTGCTTGCATACTAATTTTTGAATAATACTTGAACAGACTCCTTTTTATTACAACGATACTGCCGACGATTATAAGTGCTAAACGTAATAAGTACATAAATAAAATCGGGCTGCAGGTAATGAAAAATTAATAAATATTTCTAGCCTTTCCCTAACCAGAACCTCATTAGAGCTAAAAGGCAATGATAAACATTAAAAACAAATAAATGGTAAGCAATCATAAATCAGATGGGATTTCATATTTTCTCCCGCATTTGTAGTTGGCCTAATGTGAACAAGGGGAACATTGCGATCACTTCGCAAATAAAAGATATAGCACAAATTATTTTAAAACAAATAGCCAATAACAAAATAGCTAACAATGATATTGCACATACACTCTTGGTAGAACATTTGTTACCGTTCTTAATCCATTTTGAACATTTCGATTCGTAGTGTTTTCATATGAACAATGTGTTTTTTGTTATACAATACGGGACAGAAAGATTAATTCAGTTACGATGTTGTACAATAGGCATCCAAACATTCATCACAGGTAAAATACAAATCTCAATGAAAATTTGTTGTTGGGGTTACCTATTTCACAATGTTTACCGGTTCAGATGTTCCGTACAGTACCTACCTTAGACGCAGATGTAGGTATGTATTATATATATATATATATATATATAATAGCAATTTCATTGCTTTAGTTGTACTGTTATTGAGTGGGCCAACGGACACCTTCATTTTTGCGAATTATTATGTAACTTTCACGTGAGCAGATAACAAAGAACATACTCCTCGGTCATTTCATTCAACTCCTCCTCCTCCTACTACTACTGTTAAAGAGACCTGTACACTGCGAAATTACCATACCCGGAATTCCAAGGTAATTTTAAATTGTAAAATTGAAGAGAAAAACCGTGCATTTAATTTCGCATTGATTTTGACATAATATCGTGATTTGTTGTAATTTAGAAAACGATAGTAAAGCAGGACTTCGCGAAAATGTATAAAAAAAAATATACAACCGTTAGTCGTAATATAAACTATTACGAGAATATCGTTAAAATGGGCTTAGTGCACTATTCGGCTTTTAATAACGTTTAAACGTTGTTTTTGTTTCTATCGAAGCAGTCTCATCCCTCGTCCATCCCGAATTTATTAACATCTGAGACGCGTCTGTAATGATATTTTCTCATTCAACTACTTACACGCTCTTCGACTTCATAATCAACCGATTCGTCTCGTCGCGTACGACCACGCACAAATTCGTTTATATAAAATATAAATAAAAATATAATATTGTATCGTTCAGACCGATAAAAAGTTCAAAATGTAACGGCTTGAGATTCGAAGGTTATAGGAAACCACTACGCGATTCAGCACGCATAGATCAGTATGGTTCAGCCTTATCGTATACAAATATGTGAAGGATTGTTTCAGTCCGAATGCATATTTTTTTTTAAAATTTCGGTTCAGTTCTGGTTTAAACTAAAATCAATTCAGTTCGTCCGGTTTAAAAAAAAATATAACCAGATTAATCAGGTTCGGTTCGGACTGGTCAGTCCTGACTAGGCCGTTACGACTCGTTTAAAATATATTGAACAATCATTTTAAATTTAAAGACATTATTTATAAAATAAGTAACACGTATATTATTACGGGGACCAATATTTTATTCCTGCGCTGTTATTTATGTACTTGTATGTGTATACCTCAGAGCTGTTCATGATACCCATTATTAATTATTATCGAAAATATGTTCAAGAACAACGGTTGCAATTATTCTCGTTAAGAAATTATAAATACCAGCGCTGTACTATGTACTATGGCACTTTGGTCTTTGTGTCCATAATATTCTGTTGTGTAGGTACATATACCGCACGTGCTGTGCAAATTCTGGTCATCGATTTTTTGTCGACCCCGAAATTATGTTCAAAGCCATCACCGCCACGGTGACCATTGGGAAATCGGACGGTAAGAATATGCAATCGCAGAATCGACCCTTTGCGCATGAAACGTGAGCCGAATATTACGCGATCCACGGGTCCTATCCCTCCACCATCGACGTACGGGTCGTGCTAGAGACGCGGCATTTGTTGATTGTGCGACGTTGAGTGGAACGCGTTTGAATTTCGGTCACAACACAAAACCACGGATATGAGGATAAGATATATTACGCGCGAGGTGTCCTGTCGTATGTATTGTCGTGAACGTAACATCTATCATAAAATTTAATTTATAAAATATGTAAAATCAACATACTGTATTAATTTATAAAAATATAAAACTTAATATAAGGCTTAACTATAACATAAAATATATATATACATATATATGTTTAATTTACTTTTTACTTAATATTTCGTTTGATGGAAAAAAATTAATTCACGTCTGCTTGAATACAATTGTAGAATACAATTATAACATGTTATATGATTTATGTAAATGTAACGATTGAACAAGTATGTTAATAATATTTGGATTTAATATAATTCAGATTTGGCAACGAAGACTCTTAATCGAAGCCCTAGAGCTCCACGGTGTGCTTTTCAAAAACTACTGAAACATGCTATGAAGTGGAAATCCTAAGCCGAGAAATAATGTATAATAGCCAGTGTTGGGAATAGATAATACAAAATTTATCTAGATAAAGATAAAAGATATTAGTCCAAATTCATCTAGATAAAGATAAAAGATAATTTCATTATTATCTAGATAAAAAAAAAAATTTCAAAATTTTTTATTTTTTGGTCAATATTTCATATTAGCAATAATATCTATGAAGACTCAATTATAATCATTATTATCTATAGGTACTAGGTGTTTAATGTTTATTGTATTAATGCTGTGTATCATTAAACAGTATTTATATATAATGTACAATATTTAATGATAGCTAATCACTAAAATGTTATAAAAAAAAAAAAAAAAAATTAAAATTGATCTGTACATATCAGAATGAATACAGAATACATAAGAAATTATTTTAAGTTAACAATATTGTTTTCAATATAATCTTAATTTGATGATTTTCATGATTCTATAAGTAGTTACGACTTTACGGGTTCCAAGAGTGAAGTATTGACTATTCAGCATATGTTTACTAAAATTAAATACCTACTATATTTGGAACTTTCATGGAAAAATAAGAAATTAAGCTTAAGAATACCAAAAATATTTTTCCGACATGAAAATACAATTAAAATGTCATACCAAGAAATAATAATTACTTATTAATAATACACGAATTATGATTATAAATACAAAATCTATATATATATATATATATATATATATATTAAAGAAAGTCGGGTTAGTTACAGAATTTATAATTCAAGAACGGCTGGACCGATTTTTATGATCTCTGATTTGTTGAATTCGTCTCTGTACAAGAATAAAAATAATTCTAATCTTAGAAATAATACAGACAATTATCTAGATAAGTAAAAATTTTATCTTAGATAATTAATTAGATAACTTAGCATTATTTATTTAGATAAGATAAAAGATGACAAAAAATCTATCTAGATAATTTATTTAGATAAATTTATCTAGATAAGTCCCAACACTGATAATAGATAATCATTGGGTACCATAGCTCCTATTATAACACTTATGAATGATAGTGCGTTTTAGTCGACATAAGCCTTTGGTTGTCTATTGCTGAATTTCCGTTGCCATAGTTTATTGGCTCACACTTATATATCATAAACCGACTGGTAAAAGGCAAAATAAGCTAAGAAACTAATTGACATGGTACCTTGGAACAGCCGATCGATAAAGCATTCGCATAAGCGCTAGTGTTCCTCCGATCATTTGGTAATGATATGTTAATATTTGATACAAATAAACGTCGGTACAAGCGACCTTTACTAACAGAAATTTTATAAAAGTAGGGACTTAACACCTATTTAAAATATAAATGAAATTTATAAAAATCGTGTCCAACAAGCGACAAACGCATAGCATTTGGTCCCTAATTTTATCAGTCATCATTTAATATAAAGTTGATACTATGAAATACATTTTATACGATGATTATCATTTAATATAATTATAGTTTTACTTTTATAACAATATTATGCTATTTTTTACGATTATGGCATTTAAACTATTAAGTTTTATGAATTTTATATTATAGTGACTAATATCCTAAAAAGTATTTTAGAATTATTTTAAAATGAACTCTTATGATAACAGATTATCGGTCAAATAATATAATATTGTGACAAAATTATTATTAAAATCATATATAACGATTATTGGGCATGAAATATATTTCATACAATCAAAATTATAAAAGTGATGAGCAATAAAAGTAGGGGTCGAGTGCCATATTGTGTTTATCGATTTGATGACATCAGAAACACAATTTGCGTTAAATACCTCTTGTAACGAAATTAATAAATTAAATTAAATCATATTATTTAATAGTCATTAAGAGAAATACTAGTACTTGTGTGATCGAATGTTTTAACTATCGGTTGTTCCGTAATAAAACTCAAGTTGATTAGCTTATTTTTCCTTTTACTAGTCGAATAATTAATAGTCCATCAATAATTAACAGTTCCCGTTTATAAGATGTTTAATAAAATTTTTTAGTTTTTAACTCATAGACTTGAAAAATATGGAATGTATTAGTTATATTTTATGTAGTGTTGAGAAAATTGGAAGATTCTAATTGAAATGCAGGAATTTTAAAGGTTTTCTTGACGATTTAAAGTAAATCACTAAATTTTACTTACGCATGAAACCAGTGTACAATACAATACTAGTGCATCCAAAACTAGTAACTGCCGAACTGTAGCTGTTAGTTGTGTAACAACTATAAATATAACTATTAATAAAATATAACTATTATATTGTTACTTACGATTGGTCTTGGTCAATCGTGAAATAAAGTTTTTTCTTATAATTATTTAAGTAGATTTTTTCCAGTATGGACGTTTAATATTTAATTTTTAAATAGTCGATGTAACTACATGAAGTGTGTGCATATAATATACCTTATAAAATTAAATCGCTCTGTATAAAATATTATGGTTCCATGGTTTTTTCTGTTTAAAAAATTGTACATTTTCTATTATTTTAAACAAAAAAAGTATATTACACTCCGAATAGGAACTTTACGTAGTAATTTAGGTTTTTATTAACAATTTAAGTATAAGATATTTAGGTAAAGTTAATATGTATATATATATTCCATTCACGGTTGTATGATATATTATGTTGCTTTAAACAAATTGTAAACTGTAAACTGTAAATTGTAATATATATTATAATCACATAAATTTAGTTGAACATAATAATGGGGTGAAAATTTTAAGTAAGCACTAAACTTTAAGAAACTTTTGTAAATTATTCATCCAAAACTAGACATTAATACTTTCCACTTAAATATTTTTATTCCCATATAAATTTCAAATAAAAATATAGCCGACCGCATGAAAATAAAATAATCTAAACATTTTTATTACCAAGTAATTGTTAACTACGAAAAATTTTACATTAATTTGAGGTACCTACTTAAAAAAAAAAAAAAAAAAATAGTATGTCAAATACACGTAAGGTTAATATTATCATTACTCTCTATCTCAGCACAAACTATAGCTTAAAGAGATAGGTAATCATGTAAATTATGTTTTTAAATTTTGTCTTATTATATGATTTATGATAATTATTTAACACCAATAAAAACTCTAAAATATTTAGTTATCCAATATTTATATTTAAAACGTGTACGTTTACATGTACGTTTAAAATGTATATTACTGCGATAACCAATCGTGCCACATCAAAACCCTACGCGTGACGTATGATTAAGATTCAAAAGAAATGTCGAAGGAGAAACATAGGTCTATTATGTAAATGCATTTCAGTTAGACGTATTCTATAGAATCAATTATTCTGAGAACCTCGTAGAAGACGTAGATTTAATATTTCTTCGGAAGCGTATATAACGATCGGTTTTTTGGTTTCTTTTTTTTTCATGACCTCACTCATTCTGTTGAACATGACTTAGAACGCAGCAGCCTGTCCATATAATATAATGTTGTACCAGTACAATAATATATATTAAAAAAGTCTGTTCACTTCAATCAGTATGTCAAAGATTTACTAAACAGTAGACACTGAAACAATTTGTCCCTTGACATTTTAATATCCGGTAAGGGAGAAAAAGGAAAGTCTAATTTACGTTTTCGAATACTTGTCAGCCAATTACGTTTTATTGGAAACATCATTTAAAATTTATATTAATTAATATGTAGGTTGACGTAAAGATATTCATATATATAAAGCTATTTATCAGTCGTATTTGGCGTTACTAAACATTATTTAGAATTGAGACAAGTTCGACATGCACATAAATAATTGTTGTCGTCGTCGTCGTCGATTATTATAATAATAACAATTATTATAATTTTTTATATACCTGGAGTTTTTAATTTTAACCACTTCAAAATGATTTACGGTTCATCACATGTACCAGTTCTATATTAATTGACTATTAAAGTTACCATTAAGCCGTATACTACTACTGACTATTAATATTAAATTATATTAATGAACAATTTATGCGTCACAAATATTGTAATAAGTAATTGGAATAGTCTGCAATGGTTAGGTTGGTACATGGTGGTCGGATTAATCGATCGTCTAAAAATAATATTTTACAAACAAAACTCACTATTTCGCCTTTGTCGCCGTCTTTGCCTCGCTCACCCTTTATGCCGGGAGGACCTATTTCCAACGAAACGTAACGTGTTATTAGCGTTTATATTAAGTTATTATAAATAATACAAGACGAGAGGCAAAAACTTACCTTGCAATCCGGCCGGTCCAGGTGGTCCAGGAGGCCCCACTAGCTGCTGTAGTTTAGATTAAATAAAAATCAGATTAATATTCAAAATTGGATTTTAAATTCAATAAAAAATAAGAATAATAATATTATGCTCACCGGTTCGTTAGCTGTTTCGAAAACACCATCACCTTGGAACTAAAAAAAAAAAGACAGTTTCGAATGTTTAGACGATTGGTTATAATAAGTTATCTCTGGGTACGTTTTTAGATATTTCGCAGTTATTGAAGGTCAGTTTTGAAAAATCAAGTTTAGAAATGACCATGTTTTCTGTACATGTTACGGTGGTGGCCGAGTATGAATTTTATTCGTTGGAAGGAAAATAAGTAGAGTATAAGAGTGAGAGAGAGAGAGAGAGAGAGAGAGAGAGAGGAAAAGAGAGAGCTTAACGCGTGCTAATAAAAAAACGTGCTCTATAATTCTCAATTGTAATTCTAAAGAGATACTACAAATCCAGGCATATCATATATTTGGGTTAGTGTCACTTATAATTTTATACCAAAGTTAATAATAATAATAATAATAATGGAAAAAAGAAACAAAAATGAATCACATTGTTTTGGATTATAGTTTAAAAACATCAGGGTTAAAAGGAGGGAAAAAAGAAACATTGGTGTAAAAAGGGACGTCTCGATGAGTTTGAGATGAATTTCTAGAACACGCATGAACGTATTTAGGAGACGAGTTCTGTACACAAGTATCATCAAGTCGAGGGTCATAAATGTCATTGGTCATATTATAAAGACTGTGAGCGCATGTTACATAAAAGGTCAAGTGTAACGAAATTTTATTTTAACATATCATTAAGAAATTGAGGCTTTTCTACGTTTTAAAAGTGTATACATGTTACATACTAATACGAGTATTACAAACGCAGTAGCTGCACTTATAAATCGTGCCTAGTGCAGTAGTACGCGTGTACCCGTCGAAACGGTATTGCTCACCACGAACTCTCCAGAGAGTCAGTCATGTCAGTTGTGTTTATTTTCACACTAACGTTTAAAAATAATGATGTTAATTTATTATGAAGGTAAAAGAAAAAAAATTGAAATATTACGTTTCCTTTAATCTACACAGTTTAATCTGTTCGCACAGAATTTTCTTCAGTGTTATTAATCAAACTCCCAACAAAATTAAGCTCGTAAATAAAAACCAACGTTTTTGTGCACAACGATATCAATGTTTACGATTGTTCTAAGAAACTATATATAACAATAATATTTTGCTCCCTACCAAAGGGTATAATAATGTGTTAATAATCTATTCAGTTGTTCTCTTTTACAGGAATGAACGTAACGAAAACTGTGTAAAATGTCACTACATAATATACTTGTATCGGTGGGAAGTTTTTTAATTAGTTTCGAAAACAGATAAAATTCTGCGAGTGCGGAACCGCGTGTTAACGGTTAACGCCTCAGATGAAACTTATAATTTTTTATGTCACTCATATATACAGTTTTTTTCAATATATGCGCGTGCAAGACATTGCCAAAAAAAATGTCACCAAATTGATACCATAAACAGGAGGAGAAAAAAGTTACGTTCCTTTCTCTCTTTCTCTTTCTCCGGCTATTTATCCTCGTTTCTTTCGGAAGTTATGAGTAAAGTTTAGGAGCAAATATATGTACCCATATCACATCCGGGCGCTAAAAAAATTATAACATTTATTTTTCGCGCGAACATAACGACTGAAAGGAACACCCGTTTTGTTAAACTCTAAAAAAAAACAAAAAACCACCACTCACTTGTCGTCTCCTGATCTTCTTGTTGTTGTACTTCTAAAAACAATAATTAAATAACCATTTTAATTAAAAAAAACCGTTCATCGAAAACCTCACGAATGATTTTCTTACATTCTAAACAACTAATGGCACGTTTCGAACCTATGATTTTTTCCGTTTCCACCAAAGTCATCGCAACAACGCGCGGACGCGATTAATTTTTGTTCTTAGGTCTTTCATCGTCTGCCGCGAGCCGACGAGAGATTAGAACGTCCAATTCATCATCGGTCCGCGCGCGGTATACTATACGCGGTTGACCGAACGCACGCGGACAGGCCGCCGGATGATTTATACCGCGCGGAGATGTACTAATTCGCTTATACACACTGTTTCGAGCAGAGAAAACGTTGAGAATGTTTATGTGCATGCGTTGACTTTCATCCAGCTAGCCGTGTTCGTTTTATTAGGAGGAATACTGGGTCGAAAAAAAAACTGGACGTCCGAAGCGAAGCGAGACACGAACATCGTATGTAATCGGGTGGTCCGGAAAAATTGGAAAAATTTTAAATTACTCTCATGGTCATAAATCGAAAAATGTGTTAGTCGAATTTTTCTTATCGGAAACAGGATATACATTTTTCATATGCCGTCCATAGTCAAAAGGTTAAAAATATCATGTCCTAATGACCGCCTGTACGTGTTCGTGAAATCTAACGGTGATATTGTGCATGGTTCTTTCCGAAATTCTAATTGCGCTGCACGAGCCGAAGTCGTTAGAGCATCACCAATCGTGGATACTGCGGTTTAGTGAGAAAACTATTGAAAAGAAAACTCCAATTTCGTTTACCACTAGTTAATGTCGGTTGAAGCACATATTTCTGTTTCGGAAATGTATACCTGCTAATGGTCACTAGTATCCTGTGGCTACGGACTTTAGATTTAGGACGTGATATTTGTAACTTTTAGATTCCTAACAGTATACTCATGTAATGTAGATACTGTTTTCAATTGAAGGATTATGTTGATTTCGTTTTCTACGAGGGTTGTTTCAAGTTTTGCCATTTTTATGGAAAACTCTGTACAATAGTAAATTAATATGATTGATAAAAAAATACAATATGTATCCGAAAGGGCCGAACGTGTAAATTATAATTTCAACTGCACGCACAGATGTCTCGCCACGATGGGAACAAACAGCGTAATATATAATAATATTGTATTGTTTAAATAATTCGTACTCACCGACTCGCCTTTGTCACCTTTGTCACCCTTTTGACCTGGATATCCCTGTTGACAAATTCACGGTTTTATCAAAATGTATATATAATCATGTACACGCTAATAAAATTTACTCTTCTTGCTATAAATAATATATGCATGCGTTCGCGCACACACAAATTGTGAAACCTGCACGTCATCATTGATTTACGGTCACGAAACTCATGACTGCTAATTCTGGTGTACTAGGTTTTTTAAATTTGTTGTTTCTTTCGCATACCGTTTGCGTTTCAAAATAAATAAATGAACAAAATTATTCCGACAGATAGTATCTACGAAGCTCCGATTTTTATTTTTAGAATAGCTAAGTTATTATTATAACCGACGAACTATTATACTGTTAAACGTCTTCACGAATTTAAATTCCTATTAATTCAAGTGTATGCCTTTGCAAGTAAAATATATTAATAACCCCGGTAAATCTTTAAATTACATATTTTCAATTACAAAAAGCTCTCTCGGTATCCCGTTAAATTTTAAAACGAAATGTATATTATACCATTAATACGACCGCGTCAAAATTTCCATTACAGTTAAATAAGTATCGTAAATTGCGATTTTGTTTAATAAAAAAAAAAAAAAACTAATTTAAATATTGTTTTTTATTACATCACGCGTAATATATACACAAGGTCCTATATAAAATTAAACGATAATAATACACATATCGGATTTCTTCGTCGGTTGGTTAAAATATAATATATACTTACAGGTGGACCGGGTAAGCCTGGAGGTCCCATTAAACCTGGGGGTCCAATGTCTCCGTAATCTCCTTTTTCGCCTTTAGGACCGGATGTACCCTACACACACGAACACGCACAAGAAAAAAATAATAATTAATATTTAATAATCATATGAGACATGATATCGAGAAACCATAATTCCATTTAGGCGCGCACGCACTAGGTATATATCTTCGAAACGCATATTTTTAGTATCAAGTAAAACGACAATGTTGTGCTATCACATCGGGTACGCCTCGACTGATTTATTAACGTTATGTTGGCGAATCACGTTTTAACTCGTTTACGGCGAACGATGAGTTTTTTTTTTTTTTTATTACGAACGTATTCATGCTCATTGTAATTCAGTACATTGGGTAAAAAAATAATTGGGAAACATGAAAACGGTCTAAAACTTGCAGGCGTTCCTTAAAATTAAATATAAAACATACTTGTTGGAAGGATTTCGATTATTACCACGAATTTTATAATCACGATAATTTCATAACGTGATAAAAATAACATAACACTAATGTGTCGCAAAATATTATAGGTATGAACTTATCCAGACTAGTTTTTGTTAATTCTATAATACTTATATAGAAATTTTAAAATATATTTGATTTTTACTGCGTTTACGTGTAATACTGATATGAAGACGCTTGTGATCCGTCAACAGTCCCGTTCTCATGATCCCGATACGAAAATTCAAAAGATAAGAGGCATGCTGGAATATCGATCGAAAAACGTTAAGGTATCAGGTCTTCGCCAAATCACCGACCGGATCTAAAATTAGTGTACGTACGAGCAAAAAGTCGACGCAACTGTGAAGTTTGTAAACGTCGTTTGGCTACCGCGTAAGGGTTCGATAGCCATGGTTCGTTTGAACAGAAACAAAAACAAGTTGTTTAATCTGATATTATTATTGTTTATAACACCAAAATATCGGAATAGTCGAATTGCACTTATTACCTACAAATAAATGGTCAAATTGCACTTAGATTGAAAAAAGGTAATGGTCGAACAGCACTCGTTCAAAAAAAGTTATATTGGAAAACTCTTTAAAAATATTAGGAATCTTTCTGTTGAAGAACGCTACAGCGTACTTATTTAATATAATTATATATTAGTTCGTGCCATTTAGATAACGCTGATAATATTATATAATAATAACATACATACTCAGAAGCGTATTACCAGGGTAGAATTTTTGAATACAGTTAGTCATTACTACAAAAAATGATTGAAATGACAAAAAAACAATTATAATAATGACAATAATTAAATATGACTGTTAAAAAAAAGTGTATACCTAATAATAATAATATGTATAATATAATGTACAATTTAACAATTATAATGTAAATATATATAATTAAATAATGTGATGTATAAAACAATAATTTTTAACCACGCTAATGATTACTAAATGGTAATAAATATAACTAAATAAAATAAATCTAACCCCTTCAAATGCATGATAATTTTATTTAAATACTTTTTTGAGCCCAAGTGCAGTTCAACCACTACCTGCTTTTTACCCGAGTGCAGTTCAACCATTACCTTTTTTTTAACCCAAGTGCAATTCGACTAAAATAAGTGCAATTCGAACATACCCCAAAATGTATAACACGATAAGCTCTGCTGCGGTATTTTCGAAAAGAACAACAAATACTGGGTTTGGCGACCGGTTCTAACCGATTTGTTTTCCAAAGTCTAACACGATCGTTATAACCGTTTTTCGTTTACATTATCCTCCGAATCCGCTGCGAGTGAGAGAGGGGCGCCACATAATTGTTATTATCATTGGTCGAACACGTGCGGGGACGTGCTATTTTTAGATTATCCGTTCAAACAAACGTCAGGCTACAGATTCTACGCGTGCCGGTGTCATTACGTGTACTAATTAGTACGGCACCGGTGGCAGACGAAAAAAAAATCACGTTGAGCCAGTGCGTGGTCCTCGGCGTACCTATCATCCCTGCAAATACACGCGCAGTGTTCTTTCGTAATAGCGTTCAGAGAGACGGTGGGTGAGTGACGATGGAGCAAAACGATAACGATGATAATATACGTATATTATCATCGTTATCATCAGCCGAGCACTCGAGTGTGTTTCAGTCCTTGATCCACCTCTGAATCAATGTTCAGGTCTGCATCATATCATATGTATATGCAGGGCCGCATTTAAGGGGAGGGGCACTGGCTACAACTGCCCCAGGTGCCAGTTTACAGCACTGTGTATACGCAAATAGTGTAATGCAGGCACGAAAAATCCCTTTTCGCGCGGTCGGCGCAAGCGTGTGTACTTACTGGCAGTCCCGGAGGTCCTTGGGGTCCTGGTAAACCTGGTTCTGAAATACCGTCCGTGCCGTTGCGACCTGGTAATCCTTGAGAATAGCGGGAAAATGAAAAAATAAAAAAACATTTTTGACACACGGTTTGGCACGACAAAAAAAAAAAAAAGAAAAAACGTCGCTGAAACGCAACGGTCGTACATGGTTAAAAAAGTATTTATGTTATCACCACCGATACACGTATAATACAGTAATGCGGTATACGACGGTAATACGTGGAAGAAGAAAATGGTACATAAAAAAATAAAAAAAATAAAACACAAAACAATAACGAAAATAATATATTTATACGTATGATATACACAATTCATGTACGACTAGGATGTACTGATGTTGTAAGTGCGTAATTCTTATAGATTTTTCACCACGTGCACATACAGTAAAAATAAAAAATAAATTGTCTAACTACTCAAGCAACCATTACTTTGCAAATACTATAAATACTATACGCATGCAGAGGATTTTCAGAAGTTGCATAACTGTTTCACAATACATACAATACGTACTCGCTGATATTCATTACAGCCCCTCTCGTACACACACTCGCATATATACGCAACACGATGCTCTCGCACACACACAAACGTGACAACAGTTGTAGTGGATAACACGTGATTTATCGCGTTTCATGCCAGCGCCGTCGCACAGTACGTACACGTATATCACTGTCATAGGAGCAACTAGGGGGGGGCGCAATAGGGTTTATAGCACCTCCGAGTTCAAATGTAACACTGCTGTTTTTTTTTCTTCAGATCTATATGATCTATAGTGATTACAGTTAAATACTGTTTTATTTTATTTTCAGCAATTTCAGCACCCCCAATATTTGGGCTCTAGTTCGCCTACGATCACTGTTATTCCGTACGGCATTGGACCCCGTATGCGTGTAAATTAACGCGCGCCGTCCCTTTACGTCGGACCCGGAATCCGCCGACGAACGGAACACGGTCATACGCGTATGTACCGGTGGTCGAATAAAATGTTCAACGAGTCGTTCGAGGATTTCGTGATGTTATGCAAATACACGATCCATTTTTCGCAGGATACGGGTAGGCACCGGACTCGGATCTGCGCGTTCGCGTACACAAATCGAAATAAGCCACACGCGATCGTCGGTAATACCAAAGCGCTGCCTGAGCGATTTGTTAAACCGTACACGTGCGTATTATATTATAATAGCGTATTATGGTTTCTGGCCTGGATCGCGGCGTATGGACGACAGACCGAGCCGCTCTGATATGGGGCACCGGAAGTCACTTGGTGGTCGATACACGAGGTTAGGTTAACGCAAAGAGAAATATGAAATGTTCGGACGTATTTTTGTTGATTTCACATTTTTTCATGACAATAAGCGTCGATTGATTATTCGGTGCTGATTCAACGGATTAATCCACTTCTGTAGTAATAAGTTTACTCAGCGGAGGCGAAGAAAAAAGTTTATACAGTTGATGTGACGTGTGCCTGGAGGAAAAAAAACAATGGTACCGGGGGAAAATGTTGAACCCTAAAAAATCTACGCGGGCCCGGCGTACTCACTCGTCGTGTTTGATAATGTAAAATGTTACTACTCCATAGTGTGATCAGAGTTTTTATCGTTAATCCATCGCCGAAAGCGGAAACCGCAGCTGTTAAAACGGATTGAGGAGAACACGTTTTACGCATGCGTAGACCCGATATTAAGTCCATGATTCAAGAGCGGACAGCAACGGTTCTATCCAATGTATACGGATATATTATAATACAGTGTCTGGCATCCATATACCCAACTCCCGCCTCCGTACAGCCGTACCACACCGATTCTGGTTTAACTATCAGACAGCTATTACGTTATAAAATCTGACCAAACGTGTCCAAAACATAATTAAGTTTGCGTTTTTTAGGGACCTGTGCGAATTCGCGGTGCACTGATTGAATCAACGATGCGCATAACGTGAGGACACAGTTGTACTATGCGAATATGTAAATGATCGCGCCCCGTATACAGACCCCTGTTTTATTTCATCTTTATTATTTTAAAAATTTTATAATTAATCGTTTCGAGTCATCTTTTCGTCGACGGATAAATACCACACGAAACATCGATTCACCGGAGGCCAATCGACCGCCGACAACCTTTTATCTCTCCCCTTTTCACCCACCCACGAATCGATTGCCGAAACTCTGAGGAACGTGCATGCTATTACTACCATCGTCTTATTATATTCTCTCAGCACATGCATGCCATGTACAAACAGTATACGCGTTTGCGCGGGTTCGGCGTAAGATTGGCTGGATGCTAAACGGTGTCGATCAATTATATATATATATATATCAAACGTGTTGTATAGTTTCTTTTCTTAAATTCCTTTACCCTTTTTCCTCTCTTTCCTCGACCCTTTTCGCCCGGAGGTCCCGGCGGCCCCACAGGGCCCACATCGCCTTTATCGCCGTTCAAACCGATTGGACCTTGAAAACGATAAAGCAACGTACAAAACATATGTGTCATCAATACTACTCTACATATGTATAATACAAATACTACTATTGCCTATAACTATCGAATATATACTACTACTACATTATGAACTATCTGATGATGTCCGTACGAAACCACGGGGTTTTAATGATGGACGCAAATCTACTTATGCATACGTATCAAAATGTTTTTAATTTTAAAAAAGAAACTTATTATAACACTTCTACACTTTTATATATACTGAAAACATGTTCCCAACTTATAAGTATTGCAGTAGCCACAATAACAATAATATGGTGAAATAACATTCCCACTGCCCAAGTTAGAACTGCAGAAAATAAACGATTCTCCCTGAAATTGTAAGTCATTATTATCATTGCCTATTCGATCTATAATTGCTGCTGCAGAAGATAATAATTTTAAGTCTAACTATGTCTACTTGGAAATCACATTGTATTTCTCAGTCTGTCAGAAAGCATAGTATTTAATATAAACACATGAATACGGGAAATTATCACTACTTCTAAATGGTAGCACTCAAAACGGCATTATTATGCAGAACAAATGTACAACTATCTTGTTAAAAAATATTATTAAGTATTATCGACAACTATATCGTTACCAGGTGGTCCTGGTGGTCCTGGAGGTCCTTCGATGATGCCAGTTGGGAATTGGTCGCCTTTTAGTGTCGTCGTTAATCCTCGATCGCCCTTGTCACCTCTCTCGCCTTTCTCACCGATTGGTCCGGGTAGACCAGGTGTACCCTAAGAAAAATAATACATTAAATGTACTATGAACACATAAACAAACTGAACCATTTGTAATTTCTGCACATAATAAATCATTAGAAATATAAATGTTTTATTTATTTATCTATTTAGGTGGTCACATGCAACGATGGTCTTATAAGAATAAAAGTAAAAACAATTTCTTGACACATTTTAGTATCAATGTTTATGAATCAAATATAATGCATTATAATTAGAGAACATGATTTGATGGAAATAATTTTTTTTATACTTTTTAACCAGAATTCAATGCTATTCAAAGATAAACACATGGTGAAGTAATGAAACGTTCACGTTTTTAAAATCTCAAAATAAACGCGGTCTCGTTTAAATTATCCCCTTCACTTTCAAATGCAAACACTCTATTCTTTTTAACGAGCACGTTCTTTTGCTTTATTGTGTTTGAGTTCCGTTAATGAAATATAACATTTATTGAATATTAATTAACAACGTGATGTTATCAGTATATAATATATTTCATAGAAAAAAAAATAATAATATCAAAATACCCGTACCTGCAGCCCTTGTTCTCCTCGGTCGCCCTTTGGTCCAACCTATTAGGGTAACAAATAAAAAAAAAAATTAAAAAAAAAAAACAAGTTATTATAATTTATATTATAGCATGCTGTCACTGTTTTGTTCGTAGACAAATATTGAACCTGTAATATTACGCGTCGTGCAGGATTGTTAAATCCGGCTGAATTAAATTATTCACGAATAAGACCGTTATAAGTATACGTATTTATAACATGTATCATTTTATCATTGTATGTGTGTGCATTACATACGTTTTAATGCCGATATCACGCATGATAAAAATTAATTATACCTTATATTATAGAACCACTACAAAAACATAATTTACAGTGACCGCAAACGAGTGAATGTTTCACTGTTTTGTGTATAACGTCAACGGTTGTGTGTATTTTATACGGCGTACATGTACGGGTATGAAAGTGGTAAAATTTAAGTTTTTGTGTATTTTATCAGTCGCAGCAATGTTGTTAGTCATGGACTCTGCGATATTGTTGTGTCATTGATTTTAGAATACACGTTATTCAATATTGTCAAAATTGGTAGTGCTTACGTGGACGCGGCCACTAAACTTCACTGTAATCCTTTGCATTCTACTTGATGGAAATCAATTTTTAACAATAAAAAACTGTTAATAGCCGTTGTTTATACCGTTGAAAACCGGCTTCTATCAAGTAATATTCCAAAAATGTTTCCTCGTAAACACTTGGATAGAACTCAATAAAAATTTTTCCTTGCCAAACTAAAAGAATCGGACAAAATCCACCATTACAATCCAAGGAGAAAAACCTCCAATAGACGCTTGCGAATTTGAATTCCTTATCTCATAACAGTCAAAGAAAAATTGAAATCAAGAGGTAAAGACCTATTCTCAACTCTAAATTATACCTCCATCAGTTATCATTATCATATAATTATTAACCCTATAAAATATGAACTATTAATTAGTATGATTGTTTAAAACTATTTTAATAAAATTAGGTGCATTGAAACGGTTTTTTTTTAATTCACATAAATAAAAATGAAAAACAGCGGTTGTATCAAAATCCGCTAAGTTTTGAAATATATCAGGATAAACTTCGGCACGTTTTTCGTTGTTATTGCAACGATACCTTATGTTTGAATTGATACACACACTTGTAAATTTATCTATCTGTATATCTATTGCAACAGCGTACGGTTACGTTTTATAAAGCGACAAATTGTATAATAAGATTTCAAATGTTGTACATAATATTTGGCGTAAATAAAAAACCATCAACTTGAACTGATCCAAATAGAGCTGGGAAATATATTTATGTTTTAATATTCGTTTGTACATAAAAGTGATGGACCAAGTACACTGATACGATGAAATCGAATTTTTAGTTAAACAGTTAAATTTTGTTAAATTTGGCTTAGGAATGTTTTCTTGGCGGCTGATACGCACAGGAAAATAAAATGTTCATAAAAAACGATTCGTCCGACGTCACAATTGCAACGCAGGTCACCACTACCACCAGTGTACATTGGAATGACGAAGAACAGATAGCGCTAACTCATTATAGAATTATTAGTGGTCATACTACAATATAGGGACCGACCGATTCCCATAATAATTACACAACCATTAATCTATGAACAGTTATGAAGTGATATAATGATAGAAACCGGCACATCTGTGCAATATTTAAGACATAAATCAATACCTACTTCAAACAAACACCTCAACTTATAAGCTCGTAAGTCACAGAATCTAGATTTACGACCAGTCTGTAGATGACAAGTGTTCGTACAATGATGGACAGCAGAGATGATTCGACAAAAAAATGGGCCATCTGGATGCATCTAGAGCAGTTTGGATCAGTTTTCGGAAGAACCAATGCTGCATCGATGATACTACCGGTATATCGTTTTTGAACGCGTCGTTTTTTGAACAAATCGTAATCGCAACGTTATGAGTATTTGCTATCGCAACAAGTGCTAACTATCTTTCTTATCGACGTATTAATTGAAACTACGATTGGCGTGTGATCGTTATAAGTAAAAAAAATAAAAAAATAAAAATAACCGTAGCTACTAAGACCGAGAATATTAGCAGGCACCAGAGTCATCTCATTGAAAACCCCATTGTTGATTTACGGTAATTACTTGTCAAGTTCTACAGGATTATAGACTCGTCAACCTGCGCCACCGTCGAAATCAATGGCGCCTTTCTGTGAAACATCGCAACTGGGCAGTGGCTTCGGAGTACCGAAGGGAATAAAATAAAAAATGTTGCACCGTGTTAAACGCGTGTGAATGACAACTGTGTACGGCAAAATTAAAAACTTAAAAAAAAAATGTACAATCATACGAGCGTTTAATACGCTGAAATAGTGGACTGGGGAAGCACGGAGAGGTATATGTTTTCCGAGAGCGTCGCACGCATAAATCATTATAATATATCATAAGCCCTTCAGTCACCCGACCGTCAATATTAATTACACGCGTGTTACGTTTTACTCCCATTAACGACCTGATAACGATTTTAACGCCACACACCCACACGTTGCAGCCACGGTCCGTGTGTGTGGTCGGCACAAGTCTGCAGTCGAACCAGTGATTTTACCAAACGCTGGTAGGAAAACAAGTCAGAGAATTACATGCGATCTTACAAACCGCTTTGGCGTTTAGTGGCACTTCTGGTCACTCGTATTTTTAAATATTTATGAGCTAGGCAAATAATAAAAAAAAAAAAAATTAGACATCTTTAAGTACAATCACATAACGAAATTTCTCGTAATTCAATAATATACTTGTATGTGTTACCAGCAAAATGTTGAATCCGGAATTCTCTAAAATACCAAAAATGAGCCGGAAAAGTATAACATTTATATAATGACTAGATAATCTATAGAATGCCGAACCTCAAGCAGGTAATGTATAAAAGTAATACAAAATTATATATTACTACAGTAGTGTATTTTTGCGTAGAGTACATTAGACGATTTCACTAAATATACCAATAGTGATCAATAATTATTATCTTAACAACTATCGCACATGACACTAATTATCATTATTATATTCTACGGTACGAATTATTCGAGTAAATATTTTATTTTTAACTGTTCGTCGTGTTAACATATGTGTTTAAAGATGTCTGAACTTTTATATACCGAATTAGACAAAAATCGAAAAAATTTAGTTTTTATCTAGTGATATTATGAACAAATATCAAACATGAAACATTATAAGTCCGACTTAGCACTTCAAATTTATCCAAAGAAAACTTTCAGTTAAAAAATTGAAGAACAAAATTAGAATATATTTGAAAGAAATGAACTGATAAATGGTAATTCAATATTTCCCGAAAATGATAATACTATCGCAATAGAAAAGTTAGAAGTCCCAATACCAACAACTCTGCAATTAAATAATGCAAATGTAATAGGAAATTGAAGAAAGGCTAAACTAAATCTTGAAAATCAATAAAAATGAAAACATGGTCACATAAAAAACTTCAACCAGCAAAAGTGGATGTCACAGTTCAAGTTCCAGTACCCAATGTCGACAAAGGTCGTGGAGATGCTTGAATTATTTTAGCTATTGTTATAGAGATAAAATAATACATGGTTATTAAGTCATTAATATTTTATTATTTACAATAGTTTCACTTTATTACAACTAACTACATGGGTATTATCGTTTAGGGACTAGGGGAGGGCTTTTAAAGTCTTTATATTCAAGGTCTCAATTTACAATATGCCAAAAAAATTTAATAACGATTGGCGAAGTTTCAGTGGAAAGTACATTTGCTTTACGGACAATAGCAACCCAACAGTCTACAGGGGCTGTACAAGGTTTTGAAAATGCACGTACAAATCAAAATGTGAAATCAAAAAAATTTTTATTTAAAAGAAAACAATATTCTATGCAATTCAAAATGACATGCATCAACTATATGCGGTAATAAATAAACGTTAAACGTATTCCGTTTAAATACTATTCTAAATTTCATACTTTACCTAATATGGGATTGTCATTCTATAGAAATCCTAGGAATCGTATAGATTACCTTAGCATAATATACATTCAACACTTTGCCGGTAACATAATACGTATATAAGACACCCGACATATGAACAATGACAATATAACTTACGAGTTATAGAAATAATAATAGCAATAATAGTCATATTAGTCATAGAATAATAATAAATAATTAAAAAAGGAATTTAGCTTAAGATTTTACGGAAACGTTGCATACATTATTATTAATTGCCTCGTGATGGGCATTCAGTTAAATGCCTAGAAGCGTTTAGCTAAAAGTTGTACGGATGTTTAACTAAACACATAGGTGGGGGGGACGGTAAACTTGTGCGAAAATTAAATTATCCGACTATTAGCCAAGGCGCATTTGGTAGAAAGACTTGCGTACATAAATAAATATGTATAAATGTTGTTTTTGGTACGCGCAGACCGTGCGAAAAACGTGCTTCCCGCATACTCACCCCTTATTTTACTTGTATATGCGTATACAAAAAGACACGAAAACGAGACGACGACGATGTTTTCGGTTTCTCCCGTAATTTCCCACCCCGTTGGCCCGACCCTCTTTCAGCCGCAACTGAGTAAATATTTTCCGACGTTGGGGTCGTTGTGATAGAACTGTTCTCCTGACGTTCGCTCACCGATGCGTACGTACACGCCACCACTGCTCTTCTCCGCGCACTCATTCGCTTATTCGTGTACATGTTCCGAGGACCGTTACGTCGCCGCCGCGTCTTCTGTGCAAACAAGCTCTTTTTTTCTTTTCCAGCGGCGGCGGCTTCAAGCCCATAGGACGCGATACGCGAAATCCGAACTTGTGGTCCGTGTATTTACTTTAGCCTTACCCGCACGATCGCGAAGAACTCTTTGTGCACGTGCGCACGCGCATCAGTGTCCCTTCCTCGTTTGATCCGCGGAAACGTTAATTATTTTGCCATCAACCGCGCAACACGTGGACCACGTGATTATTATTTTTTTATTTTTGGATTTATTGGGCCTTTAAGACTATCCCGTCTCACAACCAAGCTTCCATCCTTCTCTATCCAATGCTAGATTTCTCCAACCGGAAACACCTCCTAACTGTTCAACATCCTTTTTTATAATATCTTCTCGTCGAATTCTTGGTCTTCCCAGAATCTTTCCGCGTGATTATTTTGTAGGTCGAATGTGTCGGACGAAAAGAGCAAAAATTGTCCGTCTACGTATACAGTGTCCCGTGTCACGTATTTGCTGCAAACCTGCAGTAATCAGGTTTCGATCAGTTTTACTGCGAAACGACAATTTTTTTGAATCCGATCTATAATTATTATGCTCTGAAAGAAAAACGCGAATGGTTTTTCACGATTTTCGGAGTGCTATCGAACTCGGTTTCGTTTGCTACGTCTCGTTTTCACATTCATCAAATACAACCGATTTTCAGACCTCATATTTCTGAACAATCATCTTATCAAAATTTTTTCCTTTAAAAGGCATACCTACGCATAGCTTCAATAGAATTTTGTGGAAAATAGAGTTTTGAAATACTCGGATAAATAAACATTTTCGATTTATAGAAGTGTAACGATATGAAAATTTAGAATTTGATCATGGAAAAACGTTATTGATGAGGATAATCATGAAGTAATACTCTCTGTATTATGTTGTGATTTCATTGTAATTATAAAATGGCGTCATCGGATTTGTGTTCAGTATCCGAGTTGTTATCTTCGTAAAATGTGTGGCCAGAAGCGCCATTTGAAGGAGAAGGGACAGCGATAAGTGACAAGCGATCAAGTATGTCTGTCATCTGCACTTTCTCAGAAACCCACGTAGCTTTATTTTAGTACTTGTGTACATATATTTAATGTTTTCATTTTTATTTCTTCAAACAATTGTTTTCGTAGTATTCGCGATAAAAGTTCACCGTCGAGGACTCCTTAATATAATATCTTATTGTATGTGAGTGTACGAATTGTTTACGACTCGTTAGACTTTTAGTGTTGTGGAAGATGTTTGAAGTGGTCCGCAAAGAACAAATTGGTCCCGCACTGTAAGCTCATAATAAACTCAAAAGACACCCTCAGGACACAGAAATTATTGTCGAATGCTAAAATACCGTAATAAAAAAAATACCTATTACCTATTTTTTATGCTTACACGTCATCAAAATAATCAATTAAAAACGATTAATTACAATTGTTTGTAATTTACTACTATAGCATCTTGTTTAAAAATAAATATTTTACGGTTCGCCAACATAATAGTACTCGTACTCTTATTAATTATAGCCAGACCTTTATTTTTATTCGCGAGAGTTGAAAAACTAAAAATGATTAATTTTTAGTATATGATTGTTTAATTTATTACAAGCACGGTTTGGTAAGAATAAAAGTATGAACAGAAGAACATTTAATATTTCCTTGGTCCCCCAAGGACCTCCTCAGCTAAAGAAAATTATCCGTTCGTAAGTGAGAGTCTCTTAAAGAACATAATAGTTTCATTAGATCCCACTGTTCCGGACGCTCCTGCGTCGCAAGACAGAAAAATGGCCAAGAAGTGTATCTAAAACCATGGTATTATGGCCTAGTAATTTTATTTGAGATGGGTTCGACAAATTTGATTCCCTGCACCCGAAAAACCTTTTACAAAGAAAAAATACATTTAATACTGTGCATTCCAGATAACGTTTATTATTTACAATTACCATTCGAACGAACGGAGTGTTTTATTTACGTTTAAATCGATGGGCAGGCACGTGGAAAAAATTTGTGGAAAATCGTACGTACGAGTCGAGTGCGCGTGACACGACTTTGTACGTGGGACATGTATGCCGTATGGTGGTAGTATCATAGTCGGTATACTCGTGAAAGCTAAGTGAAAACTCGGACGTTTGTTGTATATAAATTACACAAATATATCACACATACGCATATATATCGTATTACGTTCAAAGAGACGTGAATAGATACACACACATAACATTATGTGCACGTGTGCAATACTGCGGCAAAGTGTACTCACCAATCCTGGAGCGCCGGGTGGTCCTTGTTTGCCTTCCACCTGTAATTAATGAAAATGAATTAACGTTTAAATTGAAAGCGACGAGAATTACGGGCTGATGGAGTCGCATTACGGCTACAGTTTCGAACTTCCGACGACCACGGCGACGTTTTTTAGTTGTTAAACGCGCCATCGATTTGCAACAACGATCGTGTACAGAATAATCACATACATACGAGTGTGTACACTAAATGGTTTAGCAAAAAATAACATTGTTTCGTACGTTAAACCACTCTGGTACACAGCTGTAACGTATGTTACCACTATGGATGTTACACATGGGTACACGCGGGTATAATGGCACACCGCTATGGTCGTCCCTGCACTTTACGGGGTCTAGGTCGAATATTCTTTTCGGGACCTTTTAAAAAGAAACATTCGTTACCCCCTCTCTCACCCCACCGATGCCATTGTTAATCCTATATCTTGATCGACGACACATTTATAAACTAAAAATATATTTTATTCCTTCAAAATGTTTTAAGTCCGTTTTATCGAAACACCTGTTAAAAAATATATATATTCGAGTAGCTACGAATTCATACATTCAATGTAAGTAACTAGAACAATCAAATTACAAAATTTAAAACACCTATTATAAACCTCTAAATGGAAGTAAAAAATATATATGGTATACATACAAAATAACTGTATAGCAATAACGTTCTAATATTCAAAAACTTATTATATTATTAGGTATATCATAACTTTTCTTGATTTATTTTAAGTAAATGAATATATAGTGACATAAAATTCAATATTTTTAGTAATTTTTTTTTTTTGTTTGCTATGATAGCCAATTTGTTATTTTTTCTTGTGATTAATTACTATAAAATTAGGTTTTTTATTAATTTTAACTTCAAAAAACGGTCGTTCAGCTGTAGCTATAAATACAGATATAATTAATATAATACTCTTAACGCTGCAAAAATACTCCCAATACCAAATAAAAAATTAAAATAATTATAAAATTATTTCAATTATTTAAATCATCTACTTACAAAAAAAGTTCTCTGGTCAAGAATTGGAAAAAAAATACTAGTTTTTTAAATTATCTCCACTAGTAGAATTAAATGATGCACTAAAACTTTCATAATCAAAAATGTTTTTCTATTAACAGTTCTTCTGCTCAATAACTTTAGATCGGAAACAATTTATCATTTAAAAATGATTTATGAAAACGCGAGGCCTGCAAATGCAGCGCTAAGCGCGATGCCCGGAGTCAAGACCCTGTTCGTTCTGCCTGAGGGATGGTCCTGCATACCACGTATGTAAAGATAACATTGTACATTAAATGTGTAATATTATTTTTTTTTCAAAAATAATTTTTCGGCATTAAGCACACATCGCAGTGTTCATTTGTATTTAAACATTAAGTACAAAAAGTACATTTTTCACTAAGCAATTACTATAAATTATTATTTATAATTATCATTATCTAAATTAAAATTTCATATTAAAAAAAATTATAATTATAATAGTTTGAAAATTAAAATTTACCGTTTCGCAATTAAATAAAATATGCAAAACAAATTAATATCATTAGCCCGAGTGTAATTTTTGTTAAAATCATGTTGTACTTTTTATAGCTTTGACAAAATGTTTTATTTAAGCTCGATGATGAAAATTAATGAACACATTGTTTACAACGAAAAATTGTTAAACACATAACAATGGAGGCAAAAAATAAATAAAATAATGCGATCTAAATGTTATTAGAAAAAATAAAATATTCAAAATACTTTGATTAATTAGGCTATATATATATATATATATATATATAAATTGTACTTGATCGGTATTCTGGTATTAATAACAATTTTAGTATTCGAATCGTTTTTCAGATGAAAAATAGATAAAAACTAATTACATATTTCAGCTATACCATATCCGTATATATATATATATATGTGTATATGTATATACTATATGTATATGATACATATGGTATAGGCGTATAGTGAAATCGAGCTACACCCAGTAAACTCTATGGTACAATCATGAAAAATCTATTTTGTTTAAGAGTAAAACGTAATATGTTATATATATATATATCGGTGAACTTATAATATTATTATAAGTCACCGATACCCGCAGTAGTTTGTGTGATAAAGGTTTTTGATTTTTATATTCGTGTCTGGATAAGTGACTGGAGCCTGAAGAAATGGACGAATTCGGGTTGAACAAACGTCGCTATTCCGACATACTGTACTGTCATTCGGTTTTTCGAACCTAATTTTATGCATAAATTATGTAAACATAATATTATGGGTGCATATTTTGTCCACATTTTAGCCGTTACCCGTGGACTGTTCGGCATACACGTTATGTGTTATACCGCTTAGCCGTATCGGCGGAAAACGATGTCGGGTAGTACGTACACCCATCGATTTTACATTATTTTCAACGGAAATATAAGAGTTCATGTACACGAAATGATATACCAAAATAAGTAGGTACATCTTCGACCTTGCGGTATTTTTTTTTACAGTAATGTATGCAATGTAGTTGCAGAAGGTTTTTATGCAACAAATAAACAAACATTTTTGTCAATTGCACCGGATATTGTATATTTAGCGATAACAAAGAATCGTATTTTTTTAACTGACCATATGGTTTTTGGAACAGATGTCGGCTGTTCTGAGCAAGTACATCACTTGTGCACCCCCACCCCCAAAAACACCTGCGGCTCGATGTACGCGATAAACCGTGTCGCCGATACCCCTAGTGCTGTCGCGCAGTATATCAGTGCATTTATAAAACACTCTAGCTGCGATAAGTTATTCAAATGGCCTATTGTGCGCATGGTGCATTAATAATAATAAAAACGAATTTATTCAACTTACCCCCATTGCGCCTTCGGGTCCTCGTGCTCCAACTGGTCCTGGTGGTCCTGGTTCTCCCGGCTCGCCCTAAAAATAAAGGCATGATACATGAAGCGGTCGTACAATCGATGTTGATTGGACGTGCATAGGGGACCAGATTTGTAAACATATGAGAAAAAATCAAAAATTATAAACCCGATCTGACGAAATCAGACGGATAAATCGATGAAATATTAGACCGGAAACGATTTGTCAGCGTGTACTACGTACCAATACTGCAGTATACTATCGTTAAAAATGCATATAAAAGCGTTCGTAATATGATATACGAACATGTAAATCGCAGAAAATATATAAAATGCGAACGAGCATGAATACTGTGATTATTATAACGCTCCTTTGTGCACTTTTTTTTTTTTTTTAACACAGATAGAACGAGAATTATATTTTTAATTTTTTTTCGTGTAGGTATTTACAAATCAGTTCCCGACTCGCAACGTATAGCGTGTCCATAAAATCGTATTATTTCGAAAATGGATATCCTTAAGTTTCGGAAGAGAAAAAAAATCTGTACTATATATACTACGCGATGATGTTACATCCTGGTCGTGCAATTGACCGAAAATGAAGAACTATAGTTAAAATCTGTGGCTGAATGAACATGCACGTTGTAATGTCGTACTCACCTTAACCATGACTATGCTTTCTGCCGATATGTTGTGTCCACGTTCTTGTAGACCCTATAAATCAACCAGCCACCAACTACCATGAATAAGAAAAAAAAAACAAAGCGTTTCATGCAAAATAAAATAAAATGGACCTAAGAGGACGGTAAAGGACGAGGGAGTGAAAAAAAAATCGTATTACGGGATTATAATCGTTCGCTCTAACGCAGTAAAATAGAAACGCTCATTAAAGGTGTTATAAATCATTTTGCCATAATAACGACAGTGGATACATCGTAAATTTACATACGGCGACCATTAAAACGTACGAGACGTGAAGAAAAGTAAGTTGATGCGAACGTTGACTGAAAATAGTATAATGAAGATTTTTAAAGGGAAAAAAACGTTAAAATATTACGAGTGTAGTGTTATTCCGTAAGGAAAGAAAAATATTTCTTAGCGTAACGAACACGATAATATTCGAAACCGGTGATATTCTTAAAAAGGCGGCACATAGGTTATTTGTAAAGGTTATCTGAAGTACATCAAGCGAATTTAAATTCGTTTACGCACGGTACGTGTACAGATCAAATAGCTAAACTGTCCGCAACATTGGTTAACAAAAATAATACGAACAGAAAAAAAACATTACATCCGGCCGTGAGATAGAAATACTAAAAGTATTATAGAATTCAGTTACGCGATATAAATGTTATCCGGAATGTACTGTGAAGAAGATAGCATGAGATATTATTATATTTTTCTAAGAAAAATGACCTTTTTGCATACGCGAGTTCTTGGTTATTTTTTTGTATCTATATTTTATTCTATATCGTCCTTTTCCAAACCACTGATTTTCTAAAATACCGCTAGGGGATGAAAAAGAAAAAAGAAAAGAGTTGAAAAGAAAAATAATAATAACAATAATATTATAATCGCTGCACACGAGTAAATCTACTACTGCAAAAGATAAAAATAAATGACGAAAGAGGAAAAAATAATAAAAAACAAAATAAAGAAGTTTATCTACGAAAAAAAAACACCAAAAACAGAAAGAAATGAAAAAAAAAAAATCCTAAATCGAAATAGTTCACCTTTACGGCTACGATCTCTGCGTATCCGAGAGTACCTCCTCTCAGCGTCGTTACAGACCGTTTACTGCTGCTTCCCTGTAATAATTGGTTTGTTACGTCATGTTTGTAAAGCAAAAAGATATGGTCCAAAAATAAAATCTTTTGTATTTATATATTGTATGAGTTCAGTTCGCGCATGGTATGTGAAATAATATAAAGAAAGAAGAAAGTTAAATAAAAATAAGAAACATGTCCGCGTCGTCCGATATATTACACTGCTTGGCCGCGGTAAACCCCTCCATAAAGACCAGCTGAATTATATACATATATATACGCACACACACTTATATATATACATATTTATGTATAATATATTGGACCCTTTATATGCTTTTATCGCGTACATACGAAATATTCATATAAAAAAACTGGATACGTATTCTGAATAGAAACCTTTTTCTTCACGAATACACCCGTGTGTGCATGTACGTATAAGTACGTGTTCCGAAAACAGGTCAAAGTTACGACCGGATTGTAGTAAAAGTGAAAAAATTAAACGGCCAACGAGAGGAAACAGGAAAATAAGTTATGGTGAAAAACATCATCTGCTCATTATTATCATTATGGCTGTAACTATATATATGATATCGTTACAATATTATTATTATTTTTTACCTTGACCGCTGCGTAGATGTCGAAATTTGGTGCACTGGAATCTCCTTTCTGTCCTTTGTCACCCGGATGGCCCTGCAGTACATGAAAACGATTTGATGTGAAAAATGCCATTTAAAACAACTCGACGGTCATTAATGATTTAAATATATATATTATATTAAATTCGCATTAATATGTGTGTACACAATGCCCCACAGCACTTTAGCTGTTTTACCACAACGGCCGAGCGATGCGCGTACAATGGGTCATCACCCGTTGGGGTGACAGTATTGTGTGCGTGTATTACACACGAGGTAGATACGGCGGACATGGCGGAAAAATTATGGCCAATTCAAAAGGGTTGCATAAGAGGTTTAAAAAAAAAATTGTAAATACGTGTACGTAATATGAATACCATCGTAAAGTACGGAATTTGTACATGTAAACACATACTTTCGGCGTGCTTTTACGATAATTCAACGGTCACGTTAATCTACTCGACAGCTTTGTTCTTGTGATAATGATCGAGTAAAATGTTTTGTAATGCGTGACCGTTGCCGATGGAAAATGTTTAACGTGACATATGTGTCCGAATCTGATATCGGTTTGGTTTCGCGGGAAACATCAGGCGCACTTCCCGAACGCCTCACTGCACGTACCAATGTCGGTCTGGTTCATTATTGGGCTTCCGGCAAAAAATGCACAATGGGTCTCTAAACAACATAATATTGGAGTGAGATTCAATAGGTAAAATGGTAAATGCCCCATTTTCCAACCTCCTTTCCCCTCAGAAAAATAGACGCCACCAGTTCACTTGTATAATAAAATAAAACATATCTATGCCGGACCCCATGTAAGATTCCATAGAATAAGATACATTATTACAATGACAGTTATGAATAAATTTAAAAAACAAATATTATATGATAATATCGTTTTTTTGTTACAAAGAATACATTTATAATCCACTTTCAACTCTAATAAGTAATCTCTCGAAATAGCTTGACCCGCAGTTCTCCAACCATGGATCCATTCTTGATTGGGCCCCTATTTTAAGAATAAATCTCAGGGTCCTTAGCGATTGCCGAGAATCCCCAGGTGGATCAGACCGACACTGCACGTACGTCCGCGTGTCTGTCGGTGGTCGGACGAAAATGTGGGCGACGCCGCGCGAAAAGACGAAACGCTACGAAAGTGAACGCGACGCGATCGTAAAACGTTCGTTTCATCCCATATCAAAATGTTATTACCATCCGTGTACACGTAAACGATTGTACTCGTGCGTGCGTGTGCGTGTAAATCAAAAACAATAATAATATATTATAATTATTATTATAATCCTGTGTCCGGTGACAAAACGGGTTTCCAGTGCCCTAAAAAGGAATCGTGCAACCCACGCGCACGGAAACACGGGTCAGCGGCAATGATTAAGTAAACATCTTGCAGCGCGACTGAAATAAACGTCTAAATCGATACGTACGTTCTTGCATTGTGATTTAAACGCGCATCAGTGAAACTTTAATTATAATAAAATCTTGATTGTTCATTTTCTCTTCGGTATCATTACAATATTGTATTAGATGGATAAATCATTATTAATTATTGAGCACTGCAGCTGTGTTCAACACGATTACGATAATAATAAAAATATGAAAATAAATTGATATTATTATTTTCAAATTTATTTATAATATATATATATATATATATATATATATATAAATAAATAAATATATATATATATATACTATTATTAAATAGATATATAACACGTAACTGAGCACTTAACAATTTATTACCGCATCGATGATTAAAATAAAACGTTTATAAATCAAATATACATTCAGACGTTTAATGTGACGTGGGCGAATATATTTTTATATTTAATGAATTCTGTCATAGAATCACACCGAATTAAAAAATTTGAGAGAGAGAATTTGATGCTTTGTTGAAAATGTAGAAATACATTTCCATCGAACACTATCCATGCCTACCGTAATACAAGAGCCATTTATAATTAGTGGCGATGTGAACCGTGTTTTCTAACGAAAAAATAGAATTTTTAAGTAAAGGTATACTACCCACTCAGCAATTATTCCCTTTCAGTCATCGCCTCTTTCTCTACCATAACAATACTAAGCATGCACCTGTCTGGAATATAATTGAACGCAAGTGAAGGATAAAGAAAATCTTTAGTTGGACACAAATTTGAATATTATGGAGTAAAATGTACGCGCGCGTTAAAAATGTATTTTGAATTGATTAATTTTATTTATAAAATTGGATAATTAACCGACTAGAATATGGAAACTTGAATATTATACCGTATTAAATAAAAAATCTATTATATTATGTAACCGCAATGACGCCGTTTGATAATAATGGTCCTCCAAGGTTTTGCGTATACGTTTGGGTTCACACGGAGATTTCAGTTCAAGAAATTATTATTTTTCTTCGGTTACACGTTCACGATCGCAAAATATGCATTTCATGATGTAAAAGTGTGTTATGATTATTTGTGTAAAATTTTAGAGTAAGATTTGAAACTTAACACAAAATATCAAAACAATAGCTATGGAATATAATACTCGTATTTCATCAAATACAACGTGAGAATAATTACGATAATATCTACACTGCATGCAGATACATTGGTACATAGATACGTCCCATGGCTACTGAATTCAATCGATATAAGAATTCCCGTATACTAACCAATATTGGTCATTTGATAACTATGTCAAAATAAATAATTAAAATGTGATCAATAGTAGACTATGTTCTACATCAGTAAACATCTACTGTAGTATAGTTTCTACAAACGTAATGATCTTTGGGAATACTTTCGTGTTTGGCCGTGGATCGGAGTATGGGAAACAAGTTAAAATTGTATTCATAAATCAATAATATACGTAATACGGTAAATATTAGATATAAAAATGCATTAAATCGAATATGAATGTATGAATAACTTAAACCCATTTGGGCGGTACAAGTTGGCATATACGTATACTTTAAATATTAAAAATAAACGTTATTGCGTACGAAACTTTTTAGAATGTTTCACATATTACACGAGACGCCTCCCATTAATATTTTGAAAATATTTAATTTAACAAACAATTTATTGTTCTGATATTGTAAATTATTCGACTCTTTATAATACTTTATATAATATAACCAACATCGCCTATAGTACATCATTAAACTTATAGAAAAAAAAAATTGACTTATGTTATAAACAAAAACATCTGTCTTTGGCGGTGTCATTGTATTGGATTTTTTCTAGAAATCGTAATAAAAATATTTCTCGTAAACACTCGTCACGAATACATTATATTAAAATAATAAGACGTTTTGCGAGTCATTCTAGCCATATCAATATCACCAATAGTACCCTAACCTTTTCGACTATAACTGTAAAGTAATGTGATAATCAAAATGTTTTTAACGCCAAAGAAACATTTGGGAGTTTATACGATCGTGGTTAGAATCAAAAACTCATTATCATTTTTAAAGAAATTTGTTCTGCAGTAGACTTCAGTGCTAGAATGATACTTTTACCTAATTTGCATCATTCAACTGTTCCCATCTTGTAACACTTCTTAAGATGGTTCTGGGTTACCGTCTTATTTTACATCCAAATCTTTCTCTACAAATTTCAAATTTTTTATTCCAAACCCCTTTTCGAGAAGTCTGCTCTATTAGCTTCCACGATATCCAGTACTGCTTTAACCCTTTTCTTTCCCCGTTACACGTGTTCAAACCACTGAAACTCATTTAATCTCTTACGTAGCTGCAAAGTCGTTCTCGTTATTGTAATCATTAATTATACATTTCCTTCCTAGCATAGTACCTTTAGGTCTACTAGGTTGGCTTTTTGGCTTACATAAAATATAGTTCTACTAACACGGGAGCCACCCATGTCGAGGACTATGTTATCGATATTTAACGTGGTCTTGCATAAGTCTAATTATTTATTTATTTTATTTTATTTTTTTCGTAAAACTATTTTAGTCTTAGAATGAGTAAAAACATACTATTTATTATCACCAATGTAACAATAACATTGCAGTACGCGCAAAAGTTGGCCTCGTCCACACGTCGTCGCAGAACACGCAAAATATTATAGATCCGGTATGAGTTTCGGCGATACCACCACGTTGCGCGCGCCATATGTGACAATTGTTATTGCAAAGAGATGGCGAAAAAACGAACGCGGACGTAAAGGACCGGAAAACGAATAAAGAAAACTCGGGAAAACCAATGACAACAATGTCCGGACGTCAAAAAAATTGTGGATCCAGCCGACGACCATATCATTTAGTCGTGACGCACATCGTCGGACCTACTCCGAATGATGACGACGCCGCACCGTCTCCAAAAATCCATTACCGCGATGAGGTTCAAAGCACACCCTCTACCCTCTCTTCCATTTACCGACCCTGATGGTTAGGCAGCAGCAGTCGACACGCAGAGAGGTCGTGCACCTATACCATAATATATACGTCGTGCGTGTTGTAAACTTAGAGTAGATTTTTACTAAACTTTTTACCAGTAGCTACCGTCGTCAACAACAATGGGACTGCTGTACCTTTAGTATCGTTTGAAAACCATGGCTCCGGAATCTACAGCATTAGCTGATTACATTATGAAATACAGTTTAAAAAATAAAGCTAATGCAAATGTGTTGTACGTAACATGGAAATTTAAAAAATGCAATTATAAAATATACTCCGTCTTTTTGCGTATTTATAGGACTGTATTTGTATTACTGCTATTCTCTAGTTTTCTCTAGTACGCTAAGTCTTTCGCCGCAGAAAAATCGTTAATAGAATGGAAAAACAAAAACAGACGTCGGATTGCTTCTGTTGCTATTCTTCGTGTTTCAGCGGTATTATAATGATACTATAAAAAGCTTTCCAAAAAATTTTCAGGCCTTAGAACAGCGCATGTACATACATGAATGATTTTCAACAGTACAAAAACTTGAGCATCATCAGTAAACGATAACAATAGCATTACAACAAGTTTTTTCGACCAAGGGTCGTATTTAGACATACTTGTGGGGGGGGGAGGTGACTAAAATTTTTCTTTAATTCAGGCTTAAAATTTACAAGTTAAATTTTTGATAATATTTAAATTTGGCGAATCCTTAATATTTGTGGTTTTTTTTTTTTTTTATTTGAGGATCCACTTAGAATAGACTTTTGTGTAGTTCTCTTTTAACACCTGTCTGTGTTTTGAAAGTAACGCTTGTGTTTTATTTGATTTTTCATCAAGTATGGACTTCACAAAAAGCCCAATTCAGTATTCACAGTCACGCGTAATTTAATTCCGTTATAAAATAATCCACATAAAAAAAATTTAAAATTTGTATCTTACGTATAATCGATTCCTTAAATACGGATTCAGGGGGGTAGGCGATCACCCCCTTCGACTCCCCCTAAAATACGCCCCTGTGTTTGACTGCGTAAGAAGTCTATAGCCACGTGATCGAACCCGGACGGAAACTACGCCATCCGTCCGGTTGTCACTGCACGCATCGAATTCGATCGTTCAGGGACAGTTGTGCTGAGTTTACGTTATCGCGCGCGTCTGACTTTTTTTTAATTATTTGTTTGGCTTATTCTGGGCCATTCAGACACATCGCCGCTTCCACTATGCCTCGCAATGCCTCTCTATCCAATTTTCTTGTTTCTCCATCCCTGATTCCTTGGTGTTTCAGATCTTCTTTGACATCTTCTTTTTCTTTTTTTTTCTTTCGCGTCCAACTATTACCACACTCGTAAACGTTTCGTCGACGGTGCACGAAAAAACTGTACGTGAGTGCAATGCCGTCTTTACCCCAGGACCAAGTGTGATCTACGGGACTCCGAAAAATATAATCCATATCATAACGTCCGTAACATAGCGAAAACTCGACTGGTCAGCCTTGTATAATAAACGACGTTGAACAAAATTCAACTGGAAATCAAAACGCTCCATGAACAGCGACCTATCGACAATATTTTTCCGCCCATATGTTGGGACGCTGCAGCATGATCGGTAATCTCAGGTTTGTGTCAGCGAATATTATATCTGTTCCAGAAAGTACATTTTTTTTTTTTAAATGGCTACGCTTTTTAGGCGCACGCATTTCTCGTTTCGGCCGAGTCAAAGTTCGACCCCGCGTATAAGAAACACGTGCGTCGTGTCATCTTAATGTTACACGATTTACAATTATTGTTATATCTGTCGGCAACACTCATGTAAAGTTTTTAACGGACTATTCTAGTTAATTTATACACGTATATGCGTCTAAGGTCGACCGTGTACAGTGTTGATGTTAATTGTGTGTTTAGTAAAGACACGCTGTTCGGTTTCGAAACTCTTTTGGCCGTATACTAATGAACACTAAAAGCTAATGTACATGGTAATTTAACGTGTTCAAAATCAACGGTTATAACCCGTGTCTCGATAAACACTTCTGATTCGGACGGCTCTTGGTTTGTACACAACAACGCGGTAACGACGTAAGCGCGCGATCATCAATTAGCTTGTTTGTACGCGATCGTTCTCGAGCGTTTTTCTTTTCTATTCTTTTTTGTCCCCGAACAACAGCGGGCGACAAACAACCACCCAGCGGCACAACTAGGTTGTAACCCCCTTGCCGGAAATTTTTCTGAGGTTTTTACGAAAAAAAAAATGGTTTATCTTGAAAACACGAAACGGCTGATTTATATGAAATATGAAAATTATTCGTATTATAATTGATAACAATAATAATATGGAACGTTTTGTAACGTTCCGTTCAACTTTAAAACATCAATAACCTTGCTACTACGATAGTCTCTCGATAGTCGATTGTATAATACTTTTTTTTGTTGTACTACAATATGAAATAGAAGTTAAACAGTTTAATATGTAATTTAAATATTTTACTCATAAACCTTACTTAATCTTACTTCCTTATCCCCACCAAACACCTGCAGAAAATGCTTATTTTTTCCAAATTTACAAATATAGTATAAATAAATATTGTGTAAAAAACACAACCGTACACTGGTTTTGTTCTTTTCAATCCAATATTATTTTTTCCTCCCGGATGATTTATATTATATTGTTATACATACCGAGTGAAATCAATGACATTGAATTTTTAAAAATTCGGATCGCACGTCACGAAGACGAAAGTACTGCAGTACCTTTGGCTAGAAGGTGGGTGCGGTACGGGATGTGTGTTATATGCACAGCACGTGGTTTTCGGTACGGGAAAAACTAGTAAGATATTTTTGTTTGCGCGATAAAACGCGTTAGCAAGCAAAACTACGAACGATACGAGACTTGTCTCTTACGCGAGAAATAATACGCATCCAACATATATTTATATATCGTAAAATTATTACCTACTTAACAATAGTAATAATGATAATAACGTGAATCACGTAAATCACGCGTTACGGTGGCGAAGAGAACATCGATTCGTTCCCGTTTCCGACACGTAGCTGCTGCACGACTCCGTCGATCGACAGCACCTGTTACGCACTTGTATACTTGTATACACAGGGGTACGGTGTACAAGTTATGACGTGCGTATTTATACAGATTATACGGGAACGCACTTACGACGGGGATGCGAGTGTACGGGGTGTATTAAAAATGAATCGGTTCGTATTTATAATGGGTCTCTTTGATGTTACCGGATGCTGCTGCTGTTGCTGCTGCTGCTGCTACTGATGTTGCTCCGGGTCGCTTCCACGAGGTCGAAAATAAAAACCTCTGGTTATAATGGCCACCATTTCCACGCCATTATACCCGAACGCAAATTAGTCGGAAACGCGTACGATTTATACTGGGTCTAAGCCCAGCGGATCGTACGTATGTGCCGCCGTAAAGTGTATACAATCGTGTTTCGACGGTCGGGGTGGCTGGTTAGACACCTACGGGGTGCGCGCGTGTTTTCGACCACCGCGCGCGTTTCGAAAAACATAATACCGTTGAACATGATCGCGGTTAAAATTGTTACGTTGTAATACCCGTACATGTGTAAAAAAAAAGGATAGCGATAATAGCGAAAGATTTTGCGACATTTTCTTTATGGTGCATCACACGCAACGCGCATTTTGTACCATTGAGATAAAAGAAAAAAAATGTACACGCCCGAATTGTTTGTCGCCCGTCGTATCCTACAATCGATTCAAATCGTGAAATATTATAATACAACGTAGTGCTTTGAAAAACCAAGATAAATTACTTTTAAGTACGGTAATAATTTACTGTGAGTTGCGTTGTGTAGCTATAGGTATACTCACCGCGGTATCCTACGTGAACCCGTAAATGACGTAATTTTTATACCCAGACATTGTCTCGTCACGATATCTCTCGGGGGCAGGTAAAACAGCAAAAGGGTCATGTGTACACATATTATTAAAAATAATTTCTTTATTATAAATGACTTACGACGTCGCCTTTCGGTCCGTCCAGTCCGATGGGTCCCTATAAAAACAAGAGAAACAAAAAAAAATATACATATAAATAAATATTAGTCAATAATCGGATTATAATAAATGTTAAATATATTTAATAGTTATGAGCATTATGGCATGTGTACACGACTCGGTGCGGGCGGTGGTCGTTTGGACGAAGGTAATAATTTTGACCAAAAAAATAATAGTCCGTCTCGGCGAGTGAAATTATTTTTACCTGTTCTAAGTAAAAATCTGATGACAGATGCGGATGATATTATTGCTAAAAAAAAATAAAGATTGAATACAAGAAACATGGAATAAATATAAAAGAGGGGATATTAACCAATTAAAATACACAAAATGTTTAGGTGTAAAATATCAGACCAATAGATTGCTTTGAAAACTATTAATAAGTATACTATCTATAATTTTATTTTATTATTTTAATTTTTTGACTGTAGATTATTTCCTACTTATATATAATAATATTATCAATATTCATATTAATATTTTTTTTTTAAATATAACTTATTTTTAATTATTTATATTTTATATAATTTTGTTTAATTAATTGTTAAGTTTATAAGCATTTTTATACCATCCAAACGATATTTTTAGTTAAATAATCCTCGCCCAAACGGTATATATCTATTCATCTAAAAGGTGTATATTTATTCGCCCAAACAGACTATATTTTGGGTCGATTCGCCCAAACGGTGTACGCCCCTCGGTGCAGTGCGTTTAAGTTAAAGGTATACACGTAGAGCGTTTAGTATATTATACTTAATGACATACGAGTAAATAAGTAAGAAGTATTATATATAATAATAAAATATATAATATTTATGAAGAATGCTAAAATTTAGATCCGCATGCGGTTAAATCGGGTGTTAAGCACATGCACGAGATAGTGTAAGTTAGTGAGTGTTTGTGTTTGTGTATGTGTGCAAGCGTGGATTTATGCATAAACGTGCTTAAGGGAGAGGGACAGGTAAATGCATCACCTGAGATTTACAATAATTTGGGTCCGAATATTGATGACTTTTGAGTATGTATTTATTTTATACAGTCTTATTCGACATTTTCAGGTTATTTTTAATTTAAATTTAAATATGTACTACATGCCAACAATCGAGAAAATATTATTTAATTATATTTTCATAATAATATTTACACATTTTTTCAAAACTACAAATATAAAATTTAACTTATTTTCTAAATTAATACATTCGAATCCAAAATTATAACTTTATCAAAGTAGTATGTTTATTATTTAAAAAAAAATAAAAAACAGATTATATTAAGTAATTATAACAATTTTAAGGGCATTTTCGTGGTTTTTTTTTAAGTGGTAAACGCATATTTCCACAAAAATTTTATAGTAATTTCAAGACATCAACGTCCGGAATGAAACGAATAATAGTTTGAAAAATTGAAAACGAATAAAAATATTGAAATACATCACAGAATATCGGAGCAGTCGCGTACGTCCGGATGGCAATTGACGAGGGAGAGAGCGACTATTATGTCTGGTGTTCGCAGAAGACGTTTCGCGGCCAACGTTTAGCGAACAGGATGAGCTCCTGACGTCCACCAGTCGAATGCTGTAATGCATTATTATTTATCGCCTACATCGCGGTATTAACCGCGCACGATCACGTGACGCGCGATCCCGTTTCCATCCTATACGCGCGTACAATGGTGATAACAGTAACATGCACGAACAGACGTTACGTCGTCGAAGCCCACGCGGGACGTGTTCGATATTATCGGGACGACGGTCTCGACAGTAATAATAATACATTACGGAGCGGTAGCGCGTGTTTTCTTCCAACGGGGGCAGGAGCACGAGGAAGGCGAACATCGTATTAAATCGTATGGATCCGTAAATATATTTACACCCTTGGGCGTACGGAGGTGTATGTGAGCACATTCGGTCGCACTTGTGTCACACGGTGCCGATGTTGTGCGCAATAAAAATACGTTTGGCGGAGGGGAGAAAAAACGGTCTCCACTGTTGTGCACTGAGCCCACTTGCTGCGGTTACCGCGCAGTGATAAATATCGCCGTGAAAACGGCCTCCAACGGTGGGCGCTTCGTGTTCAGTTACGGTTTCCGAGGCGCGGCTTTTACGCGTGCGCGACCGTTGAACTCGAGTCGCCTGTCGGATACCAAGTTATCATTGACGTTTCAAGTACAGTTGTTCGAACCGTGATTGTTTTAAATTGCAGTAACATTGAACGTTTGTAAGGAATTCGAGACTTGCCTGAGCTGGGCGTGCATGGAAAGTTGATGAATCTCTTATAAAGATGGTTTTGGTGAATTTGTATCTAGCTTACGCAAGAGAAGTATAGGAGAAATTGGTTTTAGAAGCAAAGAGCCTAAATGGCTTGTAAAAGCCAAAAGCTTAAAAAATAAAAACATTGAACGTGCACGATCGGAGTATTACCTATGACGTCGAAATATGTGAACCCGGGGAAATACTTATGGAAGAAGTTCCAGAAAATCCCGTTCTATGCGACAGAGCCGATTCAAACCACAAAGATGTACTTGTTCAGGTGCAAATTATTTAGTTGAGTATAAATCTACGATGATTTTGTTATTATTCGCAACGTATATTATTTCGGACGCTGTATGCGGTTCAACACGTGTAAAAACTGTATGGTCAAATTTGTATGGTCTTTACAAAATTCAAAGTGTTTCTACAAAATAGAGAAAATATGTATAGAGCCGCGGCTATTTGTAAGCTTTCGGAACCAACCACGCCTTGGAAACCATACCTTGTCGCTTGCGCGTTACGATTTGCTCGGGGGGAAATAAAACGTATCGGTAAGGTATTCGCATGGTTTGTGGACCCGCGTGCCTCGTTATTCCTCCCGATAACGCTTCGGATAAGAACCCGATCTGCGATACGCGCGGGAAATGCGAAATTCAGGCTCATACGACCATTGCTCAATACTATTATTATCTTTTGCGGTATTTTTCGAGTAAATTATTTCACTATGCCAAGTAAAACTTGCACCAAATCTGTGCGATTAAGTCGTCGTTACTGAGTGCGCCCCACACCCGATCAAAGAATGATCCGCGGCAGAAAACAGACGCATACATATCGCCGAAGAAATAATAAAACAACCGAACGCAACGGCATGATAAGTAACTTATCTTCGTAATTCTTTGTCTTCATATATCTATGAACTGTTAATAGATATACGCGTGTCATAATAATAATCATGCGGACGATCTGGGGCCAAAAAAAACATAATATCTAACTGACCCGTTCAAGATTGCACCAGCTCAGGTTTTTTGCATATGAACAAATTTAATATTTTAGATACGCTACTATTAACAATTTTAAATATCAGTTCAATACTGATATGAGTATAATTGTTTCACTATTGAATTTGAATACGATGGACTAGATTAAATATTGTACTAAAACGAAATAATAACAGCCCAATAATAATAACAATAATAACAGATCAATAATTGAAAAAACTTTTACATCGTTCTTGAATCGGAATTACCACGCAAAACAGAAAAAATGACGTTGTTAACTTATATTTCGATTTTTTTTTTTTCTTTGAGTTGTTGCAGTCTTGTACGGAACAATCGATATGATATAGTACGCAACTAAGTCACACAGACGACCGGTGTTTTAGTATTCATTGTCCATCGCGTCCGGGGGTCGAAAAAAATCCATCCAATTATACACCCCCTCGCCATCGCGATATACCTAATGGCATTACGTTTACGTCGCGGGCCAGAGGTCGGTTTATTCGGGACCGAACGAGATAATACTCAAATATTCGTGCCGTACATCACCCGTTTATACGCGAGAGTGTACGGTATCTACGCGCCGGCGAGTCGTAAAATCCGATTAGATTTTTTTCCCTGTCCATCCTTTCTCTGAATCTTTCTCCTTTCTGTAATTAGTTTGCGAGCCAGCCCGTGCAGGACACGGGTCATCGGGCCGAGGGTAATACGACTCAGCTGCACGCACTCACGCGGTCTTCGCGTCGCACACGACCGACCGATATACCACTGCACGCGGTTTTCTGTGCGTGCGCGTACCGGCGTAGTCGCAGCGAACAGTCTCGTCCGTCGTGACGCAATAATAAAGCGCGGATATTGTTGTATTAGGCGATTTATTTCTTCTTCTCCTTCGTTGTATCGTTCCTCTTGGATCATTCGCAACCGACAAAACCAATAGCCGTTATATCACGCGAAGCAAAATAGAACCCGTAGCTGTCGATCGTTTTCGACCTAAACTCTCTCTTACGCGTGCGTCATAGTGGACGGGCCACGACCGTCGCGACGATTTTAAACGACAAACGCGCGTCCGATTGCTGTGCTTCCCAATCCGGTGTACAATACGACCATAGGTTGTAAACCTATATGAACTCCGTTAGGTACTGTGGTCGGAACTCGTTCGATAAAACGCGATTTATAAATCAATCGAACCGGACGAAACGAATGCAATAGTCGGATGCAATATCCTCCCGCCTCACTTACGCACACGTTACGCGACATCGCGCGCTCGAACCGACCGGATTAAAATAATCGAAAACCGCATAAAATACACGTTTTTACGCACCGGCTATGGCGTTATTTAAATCACACCAAAACTATTACAATTTACTCGGAAACGAATTACGCGTGCATTGTAAAATAATAACCTTGTACGGTATTTACTCTTTTCCACGGTTTTTAATTTTATCTCCGGGCTCCACTCGAAGCGGTAGTATGTACGCAGCACATAATATAATCATTATTTTATCGAAACCGGAAAGTCTTCTTTTCGAAATAACTTCGTTCCATTTCATCGTCGCCCGGTAGCTCTAAAAAAGCTGTACGGAGTGAAAATATTTTCATAATTTTTCTTACGACTCTCGCATACCTCCGCGAGTATTTGTAGGTACGCGCACATTCGATGATTTAAGAATGAAAGACTGCGCCAAAAACATTTGAAACCTTTCAGAAATGTTAAACGTTACTCGAAAGATGGATACGCCTTACGTATTGTGTGAGCATAGGTATACACATAACATAGTGCGCATACTATTAAGTAGATATGTTGTATTACATTAAAGTATATATAAAAACACTATACATACAATCTCTGGGTCTCTCGCGCGATCCGGTCGGGGTTTGGAGTTCGGCGCACACAAAAGAAAGTTAAAAATGTGGACGATGTTCGCCGCGTTTATACTTTACATATTTTATGACTGTAGCGCAAACGTTATGTAGTTTTACAATCGATACGTTTGGTTTGTTTTTCCCTATCGATTCGTTATTATTATTTTACCGATTTCGCCGTGCGTGTCGTCTACGTCTAAAACGTTAATCATACACGAACTCGGCACTCAAACTCCGACGTCGTAATCAGGGCCGTATTTATGCCTAAACCCGTGAGACCCGGGCCTAGGGTGGCAAATTTTTTGGGGCGGCAAATTTTGTAAGAAATAAAAAAAATAATAATTTAAATATTTTATGCATTTATGTAACTGCGTAAATTAATATTATATAATATTTAATAGTAATATAAATAATATTTAATATTATAGTATAGATATCTGTGTGTAAAATATATGGATGCATGACACTGAAAAAGTCAATAACACGAAATCAATTTTCTCGTAATGTGAGCTATAAAGATAAGATACCTACCTAGGTACATAATATAAGTTGTTCTTAAAAGTAATTACGATAATAATATAAAATATATAGAAGTTGGCTAGAGATATTGTGTATCCACATCGCACACGACGAATTAGAATTGATAATTATTTGTTTTGTTTATAATAACTATTGACCTAAATTCTTTAAAATTAAATAAATTTATTAGAAATAATTACAAGATTTTTTTTTCTTGTGGTAGAGGCGGTATATTTAAAAGGTCTTAGGGCGGCAATTGTTCTAAATCCGGCCCTGGTCGTAACCCACCTACGACGATCGCTGCACCACTTATCGTGTTTGTTTGTTAAATTCACCAACACCGCATTGTGTAAATCGTAATATTACGTTATTAATATGTTATGTACTATTGTTTAGCACGTGGCGAAAACACGTTGTTAGACGGCGCTAAATACGCATTAACTCTTACCATCAAGCCTCTGGTGCCTTTCATTCCTTTCGGGCCCTACGGAAAACAATAAAATAAAATAAAAACACCGTGAACAACAAACAGCATTTTTCGAACATATAGAGCGGCACACAAATCGCATACAAATCCGTTTATGCACGCGGGCGCGCGACCACGATTGGCAAAATCGATATAGGAATATCGAAATAGGATTCAGCCCTTAAATTGTTTTTACCCCTACATCTATGTATGTATACTGTTTATAATATATAAATATGAGTGCATTTGAACGACATGCTTTTATACGTGACAAGTGTTGTGCTGTACATAATATGTGCATGTTTATCATTCGTGCTTGTTGAAAATCTAACCTTACCTCACCGTAAAAACGGGTAGGCCGAGTTTAGAGGCGAAAGAATATATGTATAAAAAACAAAACGTATATAAAAAGATATGATGCCAAAAAGTCTTGTCAAAATATGAAAAATAAAATAAATAATATATAAGCTGTTATACGTTTTGTTCGTCGGGATTGATATGTGTGTAGTGTGTGAGTGTGTGTGTAATGGATTTTTGAGCCAAAAAAATTGTCATGTCGACAAGCGTGATTGTCGCTGGAGCATCGTGAATTACGTATGCCAAAACAAATAATAATAACAATAATAATAATAATAATAATTAGAGTAAAATAAATGTCGGAGTAATAATTTCATGTTAATAAATACCGGAAAACCATTTTTCCCAGGTGGACCGGCTGGGCCCTGCAAAACATATATTGATGTTGCTTTTCACGAAAATTCAATTATACATGATATTAAGTATAACACGTATGGATTGTAAACAACAACAATAATAATAATTATGGAACAGAGGAAATTGTTCCAAACGGACCAACTAAAACCGATTTCGGTAATTAAATGGATTTTTTTTTTACATTATTTTATCTCATAAACAACGTTTATGGAAATTCATAACTGAGCCGAATAATTATAAATTGTGCATTACCCGTGATAGCTCAAGTAATATTTTACGTGGCGTAGATTCAAGAGAATAATATTGTATCTCGAAACCTGTCTTTAATAATAAGTACTCTATAATGTTCTGAGTTATGAACTAGTTCTTAATTCGTGTCATCTGCAGACGTTTTCAAGTAAAAATTTATATTATTTTAGATTTCTTTCTTTTTTTTTTCCATTACAAAACTAATGCATTCATTTTATCTTACGCAGTAGTGTAATATGTGACTTGTCACGTGTTATTAGCTCAATACTGAGTTTTTTTTTGTGAGCTCATTGTTCTGTAAGTAAATATGTAAATTATGAAGGTAAAATAAAAAAACAACTTTTCCTTTAAACTCTATTATTTATTGTCGCTGGTATAATAAAGACAAAAAAAAAATCCTAAGGAGTCGTTTAACCACTGCAATGTATATCTGTTATGTGCGGTTCTAATATTATTTATACGGAATAATCTTTGTTTATTATCATATATAATTCGTTGAAAGGCGTAGCGAGCACATCGCGTGGTTTGTTATGTCATAAACATTTATTTAATATCTATAGTTTAAAAATAGTTAGCAGTCAGTCAGAGATGTAAATGTAAAATTAAATTAATTTACATGTTTCTCGAGTTATTTCCATACAACTTATGTCGGAACAGAATGGCACTTGAAAATAATAACACTATAAAATAATGTTGATTTAAATTGACATTAATATCAACGAGTAATTGACCATTAAAATTACAATCTGGTCTTTAAAAGCTAAAATGTATTTACTACTTAAGTAAAAAAATGCGATGATTTACGCCACGAAAAAATCACGATATTTAAAATCATAAAGAGTTCATTAAGACATGGTATACATTGACATATAACGATGTCGTAAAAAATATAACTGTTATTCTTTTGTGCTCGATATTTCTCAACTTAACGTTAGTGAGTAATACTTCAAGATCTTTGTTATTATTTTTGAAATCATGAAACCGTACGAAAAACTTTTATAAAATGCAGGTGAAACGTAATTACGTATCATAACGGAACTAACGTTTTTTTATTTATTTATTTTTTTTTTTTTATGATTTTGAACGAAAACCCTCGTATTTTATTTTTTTTTTCATTTTGGTTTAAAAATATTATCATGCCTTACATTTTAATGCATTACGGAATTATGTAAAACAATTGTACAAACATCATTGAGACGTCTTTGGTCGAAAAATTAAATGAAAACGCTCCAAGCATTATTTATAATGGACTAGAAAAAAAAAACAAATGTATACCGCTTCTTTACTTAATAAGGCCAATCAAATGCACTTGTTTTAATACATCGCGGTAATGTGCGTATACGGTGTAGTATGTTTGCTGGTTTTTGCTGACTCATTTTCTTTATGAATAATGTTTATTTAAACTATCCCATTGTAATTATTATAACATGTTTATAACGTTATAACTATCATGGTTAAAGTTTGTCGAGAGAAAAAAAAATGAAGATAATTTGTAGCTGGGGTGATTAAAATTAAACATTAAACGCATTGTTGAGAATATTTTTAAACCATTAACTCGCGGCGGTTTAAAATCCCATCAGTGGCATTATGCCACTCAACATCGTCGCATTATTTTTACCACAACGTCGCAGTCCCGACTCTTCTAAAATGACCGTCTCGACCTAAAACCGACACGCGAGTAGCGAGTCACGACGGTTGGTTGTAATAAATTTCCTCTGTTCCAAATAAAACTCTTAAAGTTTGCGGTTCGGTGTATTAATTGTTTTTGTTCAACGCGGTTTCGATTAAACAATATTCATCACTCACCGCTGGTCCTGGGTCGCCGGTGTCGCCTTTTTTCCCGCGTTTTCCCCGTTTGCCGGGAGGCCCTGAAAAACATTTAAAAACCGATTACTACACACGTTGTATAACGTATCGACGACGGGTATTGCTGCGCGCGTATGATACACACTTCTGCGGTAACAAACCAGTGCTACAACGGTGTGCCGTGACAGAACCGAATAATTAAGCGCATTTGGTCGGGAAATAGACGACGTAGGTATGGGGGAAATTTCCAGCGTAGATGCCGGAGGTTCGCCGCCGTGGTGATGAATGGGAAATATATGGTAATTCGAATAGATAGGAGGAGTCGGTAGCAAATGATCAACGAGGCCCGACATTAACAGTCACATCTCACCGTCTCAGCTTCCCCCGAACGAACAAAAGACCATTAAACGTCTTCACTCTCCTATAAAATTCGAGCGAACACCGCGATTCGTTTTGGCGAAGAATCCGACTAGGGGCTGCGCGCGAAAAGTTTAACCGATCTTTTTTCCGACCCGCACCCTTGTATTCTCCGTCCACCCCCACGGATATTTGTCATCCCGGAGCGTTCCGAGTACCGTCTATTTATGAAAAATACTACCGATTACCATCAACACTGAACGGAAACCATTGATTGTTACTCGCGCGTACACGAATCTTCGTCCACAGTAACTCCGCTGGCGGTAAACCAGTGTAATGTAACCATATGATATAATATTATTGTATACTACCTATACGGCTATGTTCGTATACATCATAAATCGATTTACCTACCGTGACGTGCGTACACCTTCCGAGTACATATATATGTAATATAATATTTATATTCAAACTATTAGAACCCATCGAACCAACACGTATTTATATTTGAATACGAATATGTTATAATAAAATAATTTACCGAATTCGATTAATGTAGATTTATGACCTTTTATATAAATACTGCGTTTGTATGAAGGAATAATATTATTTTATTTTTAGGCGGATATCATGTGAGCAGTGATGTATACTTACGCACCAGGTGGTCAAAAGTTTAAAGAGCCTTTCCCTCCCAAAAAAAAAAAAAAAAACTGTGTAAACTCAATGTGTTCCGAGTCCGTATGAACGAGTGCAAGACAGGGGAAGAGAGTATAAATATATTACACACGTGTATAGTCAAATGTATGTGCATAAATATGTACACACTTTTAACCCATTTGATATGACCAAAGATCTAGCCGATCACGTTCCAGATGTGTGTTTACCTGTCATTAGAATAAATTGACCGCCGAACACGTATAGAGAAGAGTCTGCCGACCGGCTAATGCATTTCGTTGTAGTTCGGCTATTATAATAACCGAAACTCAATAAGTCTACATGGTCAACATGAGTTTTACTAAAAGCATTTCCGTTTATGATCGTAACACATTTCCATATAGTTTATTTTATTTTACGTTTTTTGGAATTAAAAACGTTTTATCCAACACATATAATATTCGGGATAAAGGTTAAATACGTCGGATACATTTACCCTCAGGGATTTTAAATTGAGACTGTTAAACGATCAGTGAGAAGGGATTCACGATTAACCCGGAGGATATACATAAACACAAAAGCAATTTAAACTCTTCACTAGAAATACCAGTATACCACCCCAGCATCATGTTGTTGGCGCATAATCGAAAGCACATTTTAATGAACAACAAAGTGCCCAGGGGTGCCAGATTTTCCCTCAATTTTAGCTAAATAATAACATCAAATTATTCTCGTGTATTGAAAATACTTGCACTGAGTACCTACATCATTCATTTATCCGATCGCACAAAAATGATTCTATAATACACGGTTACTGAGTTATAGTACAATATACGTACATACACATTATACGCAACGTATTATAGAGCTCACGTACGAATTATACGCCTTACTTCAAAGACAAATTGTCTTTTATATTTTAAATACGAAAGAATATGTTCATCAGTTAATCGATTTAATTTCGTACAAGTGAACAGTTATTTTGTTGACTTCAAAAGTTATATTTTCAAAAAAAAAAAAATAAAAACATAATTTTTTATTCGAACAAGAATTATAGACATTTTCCACTTTTAGGAGATATTTCTTTTTTTTTTTTTTTTTATCCGATGGCGTATAAAAACACAATGTTTTAAGAAATCGTAATTTGACCTTACCGACGACTGATCCGGGCTATCCGACCACATTATACCCACTAATCTCGATAAAATGTGTACCGTTGTTATCGTTGCCACAATCCATGTGTAAAGGGAGAGAAATAACGTCCATCACGATCGTTTCACATTAGTCACGGTCTATGATAAGGGGGATGGAATGGGATTTCTTTTTACGTCTCGCTGAGGTCAATATATATTACACCATGAAAAAAAAGAGCACATTACCTGAGCTTTACGTAAAAGTCAATACAAATAACAAATATATTTTTAAACATTTTCACAACGAAAAAAATGTACAGAATACGATATAATTGAGTTGTTCATATATGGCGATAAGAGTTCCAGAGTTAAGTGTAAACAGACGCAAACAAGGGTCTTTGCATAGAATTTATAGGTTTTTATGTATGTTTGGTCCGTGGTCCCCTAGTACATTATTTTATTGTTCGGGCAATAAAAGTAAATAAATAACATGGCATTTCTAAAATGAGAAAAAAAATCCGACACGGGGTATACAATGAATAAGTACAATATTAAAACGGTGGGTGGGAAGAACGATGATAAAATAAGCATAATTTTCAGGTTATCGTAGACGTATTGAAGTCTCCGTGTGCATTATGATCACCGCGCATCGTGTAACCTCATAAAATCTATCATTATTTTATTCTTGTATGAGCACTGAATTGGGATAACGAAACTTTTATCAGTTCCTGCAATAAAAGCATGTTGGCTAACTGACAAAAATAAAGCATTGCCAATTTATAAAAGGATTTGCTATACTGTATACATCACACGCTGAACATTCGTTCGAAATAAAATTAGAAAAAAAACCAGAAAGATTTTAAATACAGTTATTGGTATAGACCCTGACGAAAAAAATGCATAGCAATTAATGAAAAAAATAAATACAATATGACGGTTTTTAGCTAATTTATAATTTTAAAATGATTTTCGATCATACACTGGAAAAATAGTATAATTTATCATAATTTACTATTTCATTCGACATTAGAAAAAAAAAATTGTTATCTACAAAATAAAAAATACCTTTATCGAAATCGGTACGATCTTAAAAGATCGAAACCCGAGGAAAACATAATCAGAAAACATCTGCAAGCAATCGAAATGATGTCGAATATGGTACATTAGTTTGAGTACCACACTACGTACAATAATTATTATAATTGTAATATTGTTGTACCATCGATGTTTTTGACTATATTGTCAGTACACACGGGCCGTTGTGAACAATAATATTCTATCGTCAGCAATCGCAAACGCGTACACTATTATTACGATCACCTTCCGCCGAACCGCGTTCACGTTGCGCCCGTAACCCGTATACCGTAACCGCGGTATACCAGACGCCGAGACTATAGGTTGGTTGCGCTCGCAGCCAGCAGCAACGATAGAACGCGTTTCGATCCCGAGATGGGCACCGCCGATAGGAAACGTTTGTTACACGACAGAAGACGTGATCGCAGACGTGCACGTGGGGCGTAAATGGTGTACGGCAGGAGTGGTGGGACTAGGGGGGTGTATTCGACACAAAATTTATACGTGTACACTGTTCGTACCGTGCACGCGCGACCCTTCGGCGGGCGTTCATTAATCAACAAACAGTACATAAAATATTATACTATAACAACGATACACAGCTATCGAGAAAACGTCGACGGGCTCTCTCTCTTTCTCTTTATCTATCTGCTATCGGTACGCGAATTTGATGCGTTTTTCAAGGTGGATCGAAAAAAATTAACGCGTCCGAAGAACGGTATACTGTTATTGATAACAATGCATAAATCTCTGGGCCGTCCGTCGATTCTTAATCTCCGCGTTGGTGTGCAACGTTTTGCACCGCTACGATGACACGGATAGATGGAGCGGGAAAAAATAATAATAATGTATTTTCTAACATACATACCGTCACCTCGCGTTTTGCCAAAAATTTCAGCAATACGTATACATACAGGGGATGGACAAAAAAATATGAACACCATGCAATATAGTTACATATTGTTGCATGTTTTTTGTACTGTATCTCCAACATCACTGAAGCAGCGGCAATGCGTACCGCGAAGAATGACATATAATACACAAACAACCCGTGCGTATTTTGTACACGTGTGTGCGTGTGTTTACGCTGTGTTTGTGTCGTCGTCGGGTGTCTTTCTCTCTTTCCGTGCACATCCAGTCATTCTTCTGCTCATCGTTCAATCGAAATACCCCTCGATAAATTGCTCACGGCCCGTCAGATATCTAGATCAACGAAATTCTTTGACGCCGGATGAAAATAAAAATCCCCGTGGCAATTTTCGTTTTAAGGCGCGCTCCAGACTTTTATCGAGAGGAAAAAACGCGGTGAATCCATCCACAATGTTTGTTCTCTTTCTCGGGTTTTGTTTTATTATTATTTTTTTTTTTTTTTTTTATTAAAGTCAGTTTGGGCGTTATTTTCTATTTCGCTGACTTCTGTTATTTTATCCCTTCTCAATGAGAGGAAAAAAAAAACAAGTTTATCCGACAATAAATTCAATTTAATTTCCCGTTACCAGCCGAATTCATCCGATGGATAGAAATACTACCCTGCGTTATTACATGGACAATTCAATAAAATGGCCTGAAACGCTAAAGGAAAGCCCCGAAATATACTTGGCTGAAAACTGTTTAACCCTCACGCCCTTCGTTCGATAGTAATATCATTATTGCTCGCATATAACCAGTAGGAAGAAGATTCGTTTTTGACAAGTGACTAGTTTCAAAGCATTTTCGAAAATCTCAAAAACACACATGCAAATAATGATACGCATATATTCTCAAAACTTCACACAATTGTTGATGATGTATATTTATCTCTCTCTCTCCTTTCTCTTTCCTGTTCCATTTGAAATATTATACAT